CATACAGGTTTACAGGAGATGTGCTGTAATTTCATGCAAGCATCAATCCACTCATCTTATCCAGGGACCTTTTTGAGTTTAGTGTGATCAGAAAAGACGGTTACCCCTCACCTTGCTTCCTAATAAGAAATGTTACGCTGCTCTGTAGAAATGGATTCTTTTCATGTGTTTTCTGAAAATGGACAACCAAAGCTTTCTCTGCTGTAGCACGATGAATATGAGCCCTCCTCGATCCTTCAATCATGCTGAGGACATGACAGAAACAATCGCACTTCCAAAGGCTGAAGGGAACCAAAAGCTCCGGTATGAATGGTATTACAAGACCTTCATGGAGATTAGTTGTGGCTCATTCACAGGTGCTCCACCCCACGCCCAGATTTTGTAACCTACACCTACAAGACAGCCGGATGAAATTACCGCAACCTCTTTCTTGGTAATGTCAGTGTAGTTTATTGGACGGTAGCACTTGCCATCCAAGACAGTGCATCTAATGTTAGTCAAGTACAAGCTTGTTTAAGGATATTCACAGTGTTTGTCCCATTAGTCATCATCACTACGGTTTCAGGGGAATTTGTCTCCTTCATGTTGCATGTGGCCAGGAAGAAACAAAGATGATGACATTGCCATCCTGTTCCAATTGGATATTTCCCCACTCATTACAAAATCCCGTTTTGGTAGACCGACACACATCACCGCCGTCATTAGAGTTGTTAATTTGACCATCAATTTTCTCTAATCAACATTTTGAGCTGAATGAGGCTCTGCAGTGACAGGAAGGCCAAACTGAAACTGAACCACTCGATTTTTCTTCTTACTTCTTACAAATTACTTCATGACCACCGGTAATTACATCACTCCTTCATTTCTTGTTGCATCCCAGACTTTCATAGATTAACAGAACGATACCGTTGAGCTTCAGAGGTAATTATTTTCTCCTCCCACACTGGGGACTGAATGTCAAGAGAAGTTCTGATGGCAAAAATCGGAAGTGAACATTGTTCCCCTATTTTGCTGACAATTTGGTTGATGACATTTTGATAGGTGGATGAAAGTACCCGTTATCATTACCTCTGGCCCTCTCCACAAAAATCAAAGCCCCTTTTTCCAGGCACGAGTATTGAGCTAATGTTAAAGTGGTGAAAGCCTGGGCTATCACTGGAATTGGGGCTAGAGCGAAGGGTTCTCCCCCACTCCCTCTCCACTCATGCTGTCAAAGTCCATTTTGTTCCATTTTCTGAACTGTTGGAGTGTCCTGAGAGGAAATGAACTATGCCTTTTAACAGACCTTTAACCACATCTCCAGCTGATGGCCTAGTCACATCTTCAAATTGCTGGGACAATTGCCATCAGTACGCTGCGAGTTCATGTCACCGCTCACCAAAGTCTTGTCCAACTTTATAAAGAGTTTGTGATTATGCTTCTTTATTCAACATGTAATCATTTGGATCATCCACAAATCCCAGTTGGGGAGCCTTCATTGGCTGGATGACATGACAGTTAGAAAACCGGTGAAAAGAAAATAGGATGTCGTGAAATTTGTGGCAATGAGCGAGTCATGTTTCCACCCTCTTATGAAAATCCAGTTCATTTACTATTTGGTATGAAGACTCTGGTCCTCTCCCACCTGCAGAGTGATAAGTGACATGAGTAGGAAGCTTCCTTTGCTGGTGACTGATGGGTGTGTTCTCCGCATGGCTCACTGTAGCTGCTTGTTAGGATGTTATTTCTGCCGCCTTCACAGTTTGTCGAGAAACCCTTTAAGTGATGGTTCATGATTTTGCCTGGTTCCGTATTGATTGAAATACTTGTATCCTTTCCAGGTCATTACTTATCCCCACAATAGTCACAATACGAGTTGTTTGATATTTTTCAATATTTATTTACTGTATGAAATCTTTCACAAAATCGTCCCAATAAGTCAGGCAAAAGACTTCATTATTTGAGGTGTTTCTAGCTTACACTTTTTGCTTGATGCACGCACCATAAATCAGCGGGCAATGCACCCTCGGGGTGCAACGTTTTTAGAGGTACAGCCCCAGGTATCCTCAATAAAACCAAACACAATGATCCATGACGAGGCTGTTGGATTGTTTCTACTCCACTGCACCAAAAGAAAAAATAGTATAGTTGCTTTAAAAAGGAGATGAAATCGATGGTTCCACTGATTTGCACTGTATGTCAATTTAAGGCTCTGTCAATCAAACCTATTTTTCTGTTAAAATGTTGAATTTTAATCTTGAATGCAAACGCTCATTTCCTTTTATACTCTATGATTATGATGTATGGAGCAGTGACCTTTGAGCGTGTGCAGATGTGTATTTTTGCGGTATTTACTTTGATGTAATAATGCACAATGCTGGAGGCAATAGGAACAATTGTTTGAAAAATAAGAGCTAATTTGTATACAAAGTCATTTACTCTCTGCTGAATAGGTCAATGAGGACATTTGTTTTCCTTACGAGACATAGGGGAGATGTGTTGGCACCACAGTTAATGAAATAGGAGAAAGCTCCTATTTATGTCACTGGGCAAATGTTGGCTAAGCTGTAAACGTGTCTCGGATCTCAACAAAGTTCCTTTTGAAAAGGTGGCGGGTCGAGGAGTCCTCCCACAGACAAGTGAAGGCTTGAGAAGAGAAACAACAACATGCAGATAGAAACACTAAGCCGACCATGGATTTCACACCATCACATGGCTGTCTTCAATTTCACACCTTTTGAAATCTTCTCACAGTCTGCAGTAGCTTATGTTTTTGCTACTAGTCGACGGTGGAAGCAAGTTGCGAATACAACATTCATATGCTTTATGGGGATCTTTTTACTCTCCATTTAATATTGCGAACTCCTTTGCAAATAGATAGGGTTTTTTTCGGTGCCAGTATGATTAGTTTGAGGTTTTATCCCTGGCAAACTATTGATTTTTAGTCCATTATTCACTGCATTTCACCTCGACCAACTCTTGAGTGAAATAACTGTATCTCTGGCTGCTATACTCTATTATGCTCACCGGCTAGGCACTGACAGCTGCTGGGAATAGAAAACAAGTAAAATTTTGCAAAGCTGCCCGTCCCACCCCTACAGCTGTCCACAATCTAGGTATTCTACAGATTTTCTCCTTTATTAAGTAGTATTGCACAAACCACCATCCACCTCACCTTCAAACCTTCCTTATTTTTATAATTTTTATTTGTCCTCACTCTGACTTTTGTCTTTTGTTTGTCCAAGGGGAATGAAGTTATTCTATATCAAGAATTTGATGTTGTTGTTATTATTATTATTGTATAAAAAGATCCGTAAACTCATCTAGCAGTTGATGATGTCTGATTAGCATCACGCGTTGTAATTCTGTCCTGTCTGGCAAAAATGACGATGTGATGCCGGATGAGTCATTGTTCATGAATATTGTCAATGTCCTTCTCTTTCCACTTCTCCCCATCCACTGCTGCTTTGATTCCCCACATTGTTGGCGAAGCCTACAGTATCTGTACTTTTGTCCTCTCCTTGTTATCGCTGTGCCCTTTTACTGAAATGTCAAGGACGAGATGCGAGGCAAAGGGAGTAGACATTCTTCAGCAAATGGTTTGCAACCAGGTTTCTATGGGAGACGGTGGCTGTCAGTGGGTTTATCAAAGTGGGTACCCTTTATTGGAGAAGGTTAATTTATTTATCTTTATGACACCTCCAGAAGGCTCATCTGACGGGCATCCAAAGAACGCATGGACCCTGGTTCTCAGCCATATGCAACTCCAAATTTAGTCCCGATGGCTGAACCAGCAATGGAAACACAGTTTTTGTCTCTCTCTTGACACTGTTTCTTGACCTTTCGCTGTCAAGTGTAACCAACGTTCTGTGTGAACTTCACTAATGTGTTTTTCCGCCTTGACTCGGGCTGCAATCAAGCAACACTCACGCTTGTGTAGCGGTTGTACTCTCTTTCGTTGTGTTGCCTTTAAAACCATTTAAATTACATGACATGTTATTCTACGGCAGCTACAATATGTGAGTAGTCAGACATCACAGTTGGGTCGTTTCTCAATCTGTGCTGTTGCTGTCAGAGGTTATTTCAAGGTGGCATGTAGCTCTTTTGCCAATCTGAGGTGTGAGTGTTAAAGCAGGTGTCGGTCTCTGCACTATTGCTGCAGAAGAATGGTAGAAAAAGGGAACGCCTGTGTTTGCCACTTAAATAATAGCTGTGTCACTTTTCTCCCTTTAGGCAATCCCACAGAGAAAAGCTTGATATGCTCTGGTTATCACAGCAAATGTTTAGGGGGACATCAAATACCTTCTGGCGTATCTGCAGCTCTGATGGATTGGTTATTGTCATCATTCTGGAGCATTAAACGGAAATAGTTTGATTTGGATGTTATTCCTTTTTAACTGAGTCAGACTGTTTCTTTGTGAGGGTCATAATTAAATAGGTTTACTGACTTTTGGAAAGCATTGTTAAAGCAATTTTAAAGGGGATGCTCAATCATCCTGTGCAGCTCTAAAAAAATGTTTCAATTATAAACCCCACCATTCATCCACTGAAGTCATCTCTGCCGTTTTTATATTGCTTGGTCTAATAAAATGATCGTTAGACCTTCTGTCATACATGTAGTCTATATTTTTTATTGCTTCATTTCCATGATTCTGAACTACAACTCTCAATTCAAAACGAAGAAGGGTTGATTGTGAAAATACTGGCACACTGATTGGCAGCAAATTGAGCAAAACCTTGACATTATGACCAACTTATAAATGTTTGAATTTGCAACATTTGGAATTTAAAATAGTGTGTGTTTATATGATGCTTGTATCACAATTTCATTTTTTTGCAGAAGTAAAAGTTTATTATTAGTGTCACTAGTACCAACCTCAGTTGAACGTTGATGTGTGTTTTGCGGTAAATTGTCTGTCTCTTAAATCTCCATCCGGACGTTCCGCATTCCTCGCGGTCACGTGACCAGCTCGCTGTCTAATCACGTCGTTCAAATGATGTGACGTAATGACGCAGGAGATTCAAACTCAGTTGCCAGCGACGTTTCTGTTGAGTTAAGCTGCTCTCGTAGCACAACTTTTCATCCACAGCTGAAGCGTGTGAAACGCTTCTAAAAGTAATACGTATATATGTGTATATATATCTAAACATGTGTTCATACGAGTGAAGTGGGATTTCGTCATCGGAATGGACGGTAAAGTCATCGGAACGGGTCCCTACAGAGCGACCAAGCTGGTGAGTCTGTCGGTAACGTTAGCAACGTCGAAAAGCTTATTGCTGCAATTTAACGTTAGCTAAAGGAAATGTGTAAAGTTTGTTTCATGTTTAGTATAAGTTCATTGCCCTAGCTACCTAATGTAACGCTACATTCAAACCGTAAGCGGACGAAAACGACAACATAACGTTCCTTGAACGTTTACCGTAAAACGCATAAAAGTATATAACCTAAAAATAATAGTCAATTAATGGTAACGTCAGTTAGCTAACCGTTGTTTCACTTGCTCCAGCGGGGAATTCTAGCGTTTTGTTCTCACTAATAACTAGTAAAGCGGTATTAAAGGCGTGTTAGAAGAGTCAACAAATGAAAGATTGTGCCCTGAAGTGGCTGAACTACGGTAACGTTACCGCAAACACGTTTTTTAGATTGAGTTAACGTTAGTTTTGAGTCTTTGCAGCGGTTTATTATGATCCCAATGACAACACTACACAACAAGCTGTTAACATGTAGCAAGTGCACAGCTAACGGTGATCCCGGGTTAATGCATCATGCGCATGTTCTTTCGTTCCATGCAAAAGCGTCATACACACCGTGCTCATATGCGAGGTGTTACACAAGCTGTGGTGTGTGTGTGTGTGTGTGTGTGTGCGCGTTTATGGGGTTGTTATAACATGCAAAATCAAAGCACACCACATGTACATGATGTTGTCTGCTTTTTCCATGTTAAAGGCCAATTTTAAAGAACGCTGCTGTGTTGCCTCACCCACGTGTGTTGTTTAAAGCTCTCATGTAAGCCTCGCTTCACAGCAGACATTTTGACATGTCACACTAAGAATTGGACACGTTAACACGAGCTGCTTCACACTGAAGAGTCCATCGGCACAAAAGCAGGACCTCAAAACCAAAGCGGCCAAATGGAATTCAGCCATCAGTCGTTTTATTTATTTTTTCTCGATGTGACATGTCAAAAATAGAATCTACTGAAAAGAATCCGGAAAGATGAGATACAGAGTTTCAGTGCATTTGATTTTTTTTTTTTTTTAATGTTATGATTTTTCTGTTTATTCTGCTACACTATGTGTCTTTTATAGGCTTCTGTCTCTCCCTTTTGGCTGTTGTATAATGCATGTCTGCTGTCTGGAATAACAATGCTCTTTATTAAGGTGTATTCTTGGACAAGCAAAGGCTACAAGTACATTGTAGATGTGTTGTATCAAAACTGCCAAAGCCATTTTTTCTCAAAGAAGCAGCGATATGCAGAGAACCTTTTTATGCATCTTGTTAGGCCAGTTTCTTGGCCACTTGTCTTTCTCTACCACACATTTAGCTCCATTCAAATTGCATACCAGCCAGATTGGGCATAATTTTCTTTAGTTTGTTGTCTGATTTTTAATGGCTTTCCGTCGCCGAATTATGTCTGTCCTGTCTGCTTCAAGCAGCCTTCATAACACTGCAAATAGGAAGTTGTTGAATGCCTTAACTGCTATTATCTGGGCTCAACCACCAGTTGTAGCTTCAGTGAATTCTTTGCCCCCCTTATCTTCATAGTTTAAATTAGACTGCCATGGATCACTCCCTTAATGTGTTTCCCTACTCCGCAGTGGAATGAAACCATTAAACTCTTCCGTGGAGGCATGCAGCTGAAGAGGCACTGGGCGCATTTCCGCTACTATGATTGCAGTTTCACGGGATCCGAGGCTGTGGAATACCTGCATCAACTGCTTCAGCGCAACTACAACTTCGGGCCGGAGGTGACGCGCCACCAGACCCTGCAACTGCTCAGGAAGTTCCTCAAGGCCCACGTCATTGAAGACATCAAGGGACGCCATGGGACAGAGGACTTTGAAGACAACGGCCGGCTGTACAGGTACCGCTGGGCCGCCGTTTGCTGTAACTCTCATTCGCTGACGCATCGTTGCTTCATCCACACAGTGTGTTCCCTTTCGGCTGAGCGCAGCGCCGTTGACTTTCTCTCCAGGTTCCCCACCTCGTCCCCCTTGAAGTCTTTCCCAACGAGGCCCGTGTTGAGAGACTGCAGTGACCTTCCTAGACTCATTCGCTGGGATGACTACGAGGAATTGCCTCAGCGGGAAAACGTGGCGCCCCTGAAGTCTTCCGTCATGGTGAGAAAGAGACGGATTACTTTACGGCTCCTTGCATGGACTGACGCTGTGCTCTGAGAGTGGAAGCATATGCGGACTTAATGAGGAGCAAATGGCAAGATGAGAGATTTTAAGAAGCTACCGTGTTCCAATTCCCATCATTCTGCACAGCACAAGAGCCCAGCAGAAAATACTCCTTCACTTTTAGTTGTTCTTCAGACTGCTGCTGTGGTTGTTTCTTTGTTTGACTGGTAGGTCTTTGCAGCTGTGTTGTGTCAGGCCGCATTATATTGGAGGGTGTTTTTAATATTCCTTTTAACACTGTTGCGTCTATGGAGGAACTGTAGAAACACCAGAAACTAGAGTGTAACCCGTTACCGCCAAAGGTACATTCTGAACCGCTGGGTTAATGTCAACATTTCAAGGACACAACTACAATTTCAAATATTCACACCTGGTAGGATTTCTTAAATGAATATTCATTGACTTATTTTATGTCTGTGCCTGATTTGGAACTGAAACATTTTCATTCCTGTCTCTTTTTCCTTTTTAATCAGACCTCAGATTTGTGGAACAAGAGGCACAGTGTAGCTATCGGGGATGTGAATGAGTGCAAGCTCATACGAAGGAAGGAGATCACTCCGAAGCAAGTGGACCACATCTGGAAATCCATGACGGTTGCACAGTATGTAACCCTTCTACAGAACTTACTAAACACTTTGACTGATCATGTGGTTTGTTTAGTGATTCCAAAAGTGTTTTAGGCTGCCGCATCTGTTTTTTTTAGTCAAGCGTATGTACAACCTGATTATGAAGTAAGTACAAAAATGATTATTATGGGATGATGTTGTCCCTAAAGGGACAATGAGTTGTGTTACTATGACAACTAGCAAGGGTTGAGTTGTCATTGGCTACGAAACAACTACTACTAAGCGATTTATTTTGCTAACATTTAGCTTTGCTCTTTGTAACATGAAGCGTAATCATGTCTTTCACACGTTATTGAAAGGCTCAATGCACCCCAGGGTGATTCTGCACCCAGTTGGGGGACAACTGCTCCAGATACTTGATGCCAACTGCGTCTTAGTTTACAGAGAGTGCTGGGTCTGCAGTCATTGGACGGAGTTTTGAACCTTACGCATGTCAACGGCAAGCACATAGTTCACAATGTGTTCAGCGTGAATAAGACGGGAATAGTGGTGCTGGAGAACAAAGCCGGTAAGATGCATTTTACAATTTACAATTTAAAAAAAAAACTGGTGTTCTGTTGCAAAGATATATAACATGACTCGCCTCACTCTCATCTCCAGAGGACATGCCGTATTGGGTGGTATCAGCAATGAAATGCCTCGCCAATTGTAAGTATACATTTTAAGCTCACTAGAAAAACAAACGTCACCGTCCGGAACCAGGACTGCAAGCAGTTCCAAATGGCTGAAGAGAAAAGTAAAATCTCTGCAACGGCTCATGAAGCTTTCAGTCTGTAAGCTAAAGATACACCTAGGCTGTTTTCTCCTTTGGCGTTGTGTGTGTGTGTGTGTATGTGTGTGTGCATATACACATCAAACCTAAAGCACCAGTGAGCGTCTGTATGTCTCTATATTCCCCGTTAACTGGGATTAACAGTATACTTCTGATTGTTTGTTGTCTTCTCTCTCAGGGCCCAATGGAAGTGACAGCAAGCAGCCAGTGTACCCGGGTTTTGAGAGGGATGTTCTGAGAACAGTTGCAGATTACTTTCAGAGGCTCAAAGAACCCCTGCTGACTTTCCATCTATACGAAGTCTTTGTCAATATTCTCAGTAGGTGTTACGCCGCGTGCACCGAAAGCTGATAACCCTGCGCTGCCCCAGATAAACGCTGCTGGTGGTTCATTTCGTAACCAGCCAGCGGGTTTGGCCCCAGGTTAAGGACTCTCGTCTGCTCGTATCTCTGCAGGTCTGCTGCACGAGCAGCAAGTCGCCACTGAGGCCCTTCAGCTCAGCTGTCTGCTGCTGCCGCCGGCCAGCCGGAGACGCCTCCAGCTATTGATGCGTCTAATGGCTCGTGTCTGCCAGAATCCCCACCTGCCTCCACTCAATGACGCCATCGCTACCCGCACTCTGGTATACATACCTAACAGGTTTTTTGCCCGGATGTATTACTACCTCTATAGCACGTATAATATTGTGTAGGATAAGATGATCATTTATTTTTCCTGCAATGAGGAAATTCTCTGGATTTGCAGCAGCAAAGATTAAAGTGCAAACAAGAGACAGTAAAAACAAGATAAAATAACCAATATTCTAAATATGCTGTAGTAAAAAAGGAACAATAAATTAAATAAAACACTTCTCTTTTATTCCACAGTTTATAAAATATATTGCACAGGTTTGAGTCTTTCCCGTGTTCAAATGTTTTTGTGGTCAGCTAATGTTTTCGAGGTTTTATCTGCCATACGTTCTTGTATGTTTGTATTGGATTTTGCAATGTGGACACAGTCCCCAACGGAGATTAAAGAAACAGGCCAATGGGCAGAGAGGAGCCATGGGAAATATGCGTCCAGAATCCCTCTTACCTAATGGAAGTCAAAACGAGGTGGACAATCTTCTCCTAGAAATGTGGATTGGAGCCCGGAGTGGTGTGACTGTGCCCATGTGGAGCGGAATGAAACAGAAACGTGTCCATGGTCTTTGTGCAGATGGTGCAGACGTTCTCACACTGCGTCCTGGGCTCCGTGGATGAGATGGACTTGGATGAGCTGCTCGCCACCAAACTGGTGGTCTTCATGATGGAGCACCACAACACCATCTTCCAAGCTCCTCCCAAGCTGCGTTGCCAGGTGGAGGAGCACCTGTCCCACCTCAAAAGAGTCCAAGTCAGTACCATTCCTCTCCAGTTCCTTCAGGACCAAGAATCCGTGGATCATTTGTAGAGATGTGTCCTCTGACCTGCTAATTCCAACTCTTAATTGACAATCTTTAATGGAAATTAGAAATTCAAAATAAATTAATGATATAGCATTGACCTAGACAGGTTACTTTTTCTTTAAGTTACTCAACCATCTGCGGCAAAAATTTATTAGGAAAATGTCCCAGAACTGCCCTGTATGACCATATGAGAGTCTCAAGTCACGAAGGCAATTACATAAATCTAGTTCAAGCATTGATTGTGTTAATCAAATCGGATATTTAGTACCTCTGCTGCACTGAAACCTGGTCTTCCTATCTGGTTGCTATCCGTTGCTATGGGAACCACCAAAGAATGTCCAAGCTGAGGCCTTAGTCCTCACTGCTTCAAGGTAAACCCTTGGTTTTCTTTGGCTGCTGATCGCCTTCATGCAGTGAGAGAGGCTCTTCTCATTTCATCCCTCAATGAAAGGTTGTTGTGTTGACATGTGCTTCTCTTTTGTGTGGCGTATCAGAATATCGAGGATACAGACTATTCACACCGTGTCCTTCACATATGTATGATTTTTATATTTCAGCCGGACAGTGGTGGCTTTCATTTTAAACGTCCCAATCTGTGTAGAGGACTGAAAATATGTTGCCGTGCTAATTCCTAAAAACACCATGCCCACCTAATATCTTATGTCTTTTTCATGTTAATTATCCACCTGAGACAGTTCTGAAGAGGGTGTTTGCATAACCAGCTGCCTGTATTACAACACTACAGTAGTTACTGAGAGGCGGGATCCTCAACAATCAAAATCCGTAATAAATGTACAAAAATACTAAGATATGCTGCTTGTAATAGCTTGGCTCGTCCGGTTATTGGCATTAGTTTATATATTTGTATATATTTACCATCAGACATTGTTATAAGTGCCCATGACAATAGTTCTGATGATATTTATTTGTTTTAAAAAAATGCAGATGTTCTGAATATCATATATCAGCTTGTATCACGCCTGTATTCCTAATTTTGTCCATTACTGCCTTCAGATCAAATATGCAGGTTCTGATACAGACTTCAGCACATCTCCAGCCTTCTGCAAGCAGATCAGCCGGGTGGAGTCTGACGGGCAGACGGTGGTGGGAATCCAGACCCCTCTGCAGGCGCTGCTGGAGGGCCTGATTGCAGACAGAGAACTCCCCGCCAAGGACAAGAGGAAAAGGCTTAAACAGGTACGCCTTGTTAATGTGAAATATTAAGTTGTAGTTGAGTGTTGGACGACTCTGTGATCTTTGGCAACATTGCGGAAAATGTAGTTTCGGCCATTTGGGTATTTAAGGACGTGGCTGGATGTTGAAAGACTTGAGTTTGAGTATGTTGAGCAGAGTAAAGAAGCTGCGGTGGACGGGGGGTATGTGTTGAGTGTGCATGTACTGTAATACCCTCCCCGCATCAGTTCCAGAGGTCGTACCCAGAAGTCTACCGCAGCCGATTTCCCACCGAAGAAAGCAAGGCGGCTGTGGTACCTGAGAAAACCCCACGGCTCAAACCGCATCTCATGTTCTTCAACCTCAAGAAGCCCTTCCAGCCCTTCCAGAGGAGCTGGAGTTTTAGGGCGTGATGTTCACATCACACGACTCACTGAGAACAAGAACAATGTGGCTCAGGTCACGAGAAAAGCACTAAGGAAATACATGTAAAGGCCAGTTCACACAAATGCACACACTTAATACCAGCAGTAATATTAATAATTCTAATGTCTAAAAGGGCATTCGCTTGAATGTGGAGGACAGCGCTGAGCTTTTGAACAAATACATTTGACTGAGGTTGCTGGAGAACTTGAACAAAGTATCTAATGATACACCAACACTGAGAACCACGGATGTTTCTTAAAATCAGCACTGATAGTTGTTCAAACATTGTGCATTGGTACGTTGTTTCTTATTAATACTAAGATACTGTATGTTACAAAGATCCAATAAGGGATCGCAGCGACTAACATTGTCACATTTCAAATGAATGAATATGTGGTTAGCTGTTAACATTATGGATGTTGAAAGGTAATGATCAAGTGCATCCTACTCTGAAACCATTTCTATAGATTTTTAGTTTTGCACTGTAACAAAAATATTCAGATGCATCTCTTGGTGCAAATGGCTCTTAAAATATTATGTAATATCCTGAGGATTTTGTAATTACTTTTTATGTTCTGTGTTCTGGAACAAAGAAGCTCTACTTGAGCTTCAGCTGGTCAGTTCATCCGTGACAAAAGATGAAGTCCTCCAAGACGTGCTTGAATATTGTAGATAAAGTGGCTGTACAACGTGCACTACTGAATTTGAAATGTTGATCTGCTGAAATACTAATGTCAGAACGGGGAAAAGTAGGCGAATGCAACCGTTGACTACAAAATGTCCTCACAGCTGGACGAGTCCTGCTGTATGTGCACTCTTACAAGTCATTTCATGTGTTTTAATGTTATTCTGTGTATTAGAACTCGTCTCGACTGGTACTTTCGTATTTTGTCATGTTCTAATACCTGCTGTTCTGTCAATCAGGTAGTTTTTCACTTAAGTTGAGACTTAATTTTTTTGAATAAGTGAGGATGCTAATGTTGTTTTTAATGAATGCTTTTAAAACAAATGTAATCGTGCTGGAATAACTGTTACACTTGAATTGCTGCTCTACGCTGGAAAGAAAACAACTGGATAAAAGTGAATTCATTTTAATCTGTTGTTCTTGTTAATTGGTAAATTAACTATATTGTTGTCTTTTTCTGGGGTTATAAGTACTTTTACATGAGGGGTGATTTGATAGTTTGCACACAGGAATCTTGTCTGGATGAACCTTCAGCATTGCAAGAAAAGTAGCAGTAGATCACGGCCCCAAAATCTGCATTAATACAACCTTCATGGATTGTTTTGTTTTTTTTAAATCTGAAAATAGCACACCGTTATTACTTGTCATTATTTATCTATATTAATATGCTTTCTCCCCCGACAACTATTAGAGGGAGAGTGGTTTGCCCTTTTCTCTCTTTCGTAAAAGAAGCTTTTGTGACAAAGGGGGGGGGCTCATTATTTAGTGATGACAGAGGCGCTGTGCGTCAGTGGCTGACCGCCGCGTGAATTCACAAGTAAACATCCCACATGGTAAACAGTCGATGGGGGGATAGAAGCTGCTGTGTATTTATTTTTGACGCAGCCATGGCCTCTTCCAAATGATTTCTTGTGGCACCAGTTAATGCGCCTCCATTGTACTCTCAGGGTCAAGCGGCCCACACACTCATGTGTCTTAAACTGGGACGTATGCAGCTGACAGGAAATGACGTAATCGTCACAGCTTTCCTTTTAAGGTGTTAAAAGTCTATTCGTGCTCGCAACGACAGTCATATGTGAATATTGAAATATTAGCAGTCATGGTGCTTATAAATTGGCTTTATTTAGTGTGAACCCACGTTAAAGCAAACCCGTCAATATCCTCAAGCACTGCGTGTGTGTGTGTGTGTGTGTGTGTGTGCGCGTGCGTGTGTATGACCAACTGAGCAAAGGCCAGAAAGTCACTACTGAAGCTTACTGCTAAATTGTACATTGTGCATGTTGAGGACGTGGTACCTGTTGAAAGGTAATTTGCATGCGCCTCGTGTTGCTCGGCCTCATGAAAGGCGTCTCATGTCTGCTGTAGATTATAACTAAACCATATTCTAAACTATTGAGCTACATGGTGTTTTCCTCAAACCGACTGGTCAGATGAGGCTGGAGTCAGAGATCTGTTTATCAGAATTCTTTATTGAACATGAATCGTGGGAAGAAAAGCACAGACTTACTGAAGGTTGGATGCTAACTATAATAACTATGTTCTCAATCCCAACATGCATGTCCAGATGATTAATGATTAAGACCGATCTCACACAATACATACAGTATATATATTTTATAAAATGACAATGGTGGTAGTTTTTCTAGTGTTGCCAACGCTCATTTGTTGCATTAACCTCACTGCTGCTTCTTGATTGTGTTTGCCAGCAGCAGACATATTATGTTTTGGTGAAATTCACTTAACGCAAATTAGGAAAGCAAAAATTCTTAACTAATTCCAATTTGCCCACACTGTGCACTAATCACGCATCCGTGGTAATTACAAGATTACAAACATTCACAGCGTGATGTTCACCTTCTCTTCAGAGGCAGTAAAAAAGTGGTTCCACAACAGAACACACAATATTTGACTGTTACTATTGGCACAGAATTATGTAAATTATAAGAGCAAACTCATTTCCTAGAAATGTTGGAAGCAAATAAATCAGTTCTGCATGTTTTGCTTGTGTTTGCTTTGTACCAGACAGCCCACGTGTGCACACAGGAGAAGCTAATAGCCAGAGTTGAAAATGACCTCAATTAAGGATGTGGAAGTTTCAGGGAATGTTTGCTTTGCATAAATTATGATTCATCATTTCAAATACTAAAATGCTGCACACGCACATTGGCAACCTTTTTCTATTTCTTCGGGGGCACATCAGAAAAAAAAAAAAGGCCGAGAACCGCTGCTCTATTGCATGTATCGTTTGAGGAGACCTTTTAATCTTCAGTCGGCACCCCTGCTCAGTGGAGCTGAACTCAAACTCATTCTCGCTCCATCAAAGTCAATTAGGTATCAGCAAATGTAGAGGAAATGAGGCTGAGCCGCCCGCGTGTGTCACCGAGTCTGTGAGGGACTGAATGCTATTTTCAGCTCCACGTGTTGATCACTGCTTCGGCCAACTCTGGCTTTTTGTCTCTCGTCCTTTTGTGATGTCAAAAACACACAAAACCCGAATGGTGCCGAGCTTTTGTTGCCGATCCTGAAGTGTAAGATTATTCATTTCTTTGAAGCAAAGGAGAGCAAAAGAAGGCGAAAATGCAACGAGTACTCGTCACATTTGAATGAAAGCAGAATCCGTTTATAAGCTTTTACTGAAAGGACAATTATGAAATCCAGACCACTTTTACCTCGACGAGATCCATAATGATTCTGTTGCTGTAGCAACCAGATTCAAGGCAAACTTGAGTGGCAAAGAAGAAGTTGTGTGAAAAAACTGAGTAACTTCACTGTTTGTGTGGCAGTGGATCTCATGAAGTTTACTGAGGATTTAAAAGTAACTGATGAACATTTAAAAAGAACAAACCCTTGTGTTAAGTGTTAACTTGTGTGAGTCAAAGCAAACTAATGTAGGAAGGAGTTTCTGTGCCGCTGAAGCTACGGTGTAACAAAATAAGGCATTATCATCAATTTAACAGACATCAAAAACAAGGGATGACACAAATGCAAAGTGGCTCATCTATAGTATCGCTACGCGTGGCCTGCAGAGCTCTAGTGAATTCAACCGCTGCCAACAGAAGAAAACACTCGTTCCCACAATGCACCTGTCACAGTGTGCTTGATGCTTCACGGGTCCGTGTATGAAGGAGAGACTGTGAATGTTTTACAGGTTGACTATTTGGATTGATTCATTTTCATTGACCTTATTTTTTTGGAACGACAGAAGTGTGTGTTTGTGTTCGACCGCAGAGATTCTGCTGTGTTTCACCAGCAGCTTTAATTAGAAATAACACAAAGTACAGCCAATACTCACGTGGATGTTATTAATTTTGCAGGTTGTTTTAAAAATACCCTTACGGGGAATGTGAAGTTTGCAAAAGTCTTTATTTTACATTATCGTAAAGAGCATAACACGGATCACACTAACAACCCGTAAAAAAAATTGTAATTCTTGTATCCATCGTCTGCGTTTCTGGTCAAATCTTAATGGGCAAAACCAGTAAATTTCCAAGCCAAGAGCCTGACCTTTTTATTTTAGTGAAAATAACTGCTGCTTCTATTCCCATCAGCCAGTCTGACAAGCTTTACTTGCAATTATTTCCGGAATTTTTCTGCCAACAGAATTACCCGAAAAAAGCCCCCTTATTGGTGGATATTTACAGCCCAAGGCATCATGGGAAGAAAAGCTGTTTCTTCAGACCCCTTAGGGGTTGTCAGGCTGACTTGTTGCCAGGAAAAGTTCTCCTCTGGTGTGTAATCAGTAAAACCAAAAACTCAGAGGGGAACCCCACTGGTGGGAACCTACGGTGTTATTCTTCCCGTTATGGCCGTAAGTGTCACTTGGTTTGTGTCAGTAAGGCTGCAGAAAAGCCACAAGATGTGAGAACAGGTGTTGGAATAGAAAGAATTCTTCAAGGAAATGCCACAAAGTTTAATGTATAGTATAAGTAGCACTGCATAAAGACAAGGTCAAAAGCGTGGATGTAATTCAAAATACATTCCAGATACAGAATATTTCACAGAGGCTAAAATGATTCTTACAAGTTGCATTTTCAAGCACAGAAAGACGGGCAAGAAAATTGTCTGTTTTTTCCCTCCTCGTTTGATTTAAACAACACAGCTAAATCTATACAGCTAACACGTTTAAAAAGACACAGCGCGATCACCTCAGCAGAACACGAAGAGCACTGATAGGCTGTACAAACAGTATCATCTAAGTCTATGAATAAACACCAAAATAAACCTCCACTAAGAAACAGTATTTTTATTTCATCTCCTCAGTGGCGAGCCATGTTTTCACTTACTCTACTTGATGTCCTGTGATTTTCCCCGCTGCGGGACCATTACAGGCTCGTCTCGTCTCTCTTTTCTTAGCGCTAGAAACTGAGATGATCTCTAGAAAGTAACTCAACTTAAAGGTAACACTGTAATTAGTGTGAATATTTTATCTTAAGGACTAGCAGAGATCAACTAATACATTTTTCTTGCTTTCTGGCATAGATTTTAAGACGTAGTGGTTACATATCTACTTGTAGTCATTCTGTACCTTCTAGTTGTTTTGTGTTACTTTAGAGTCATTTTAGAGGCAGAATCGGAATCGGTTTATTGCACGCAAGGATTTTGGTTTGTTATTGGTGCTTAACAAAAAACAATACATGCAATATTATAAAAATGACATCCTTTTGTAGTTACTTTATGTCACTTTGTGGTTGCTTTGTATCTCTATGTAGTAATTGTGTGTATCCTAATGTTTTTTTAGTTATACTTTTGTTAGTTTTTTTGCCTTGTTTCATATTCACTGTGTATTTTTGAAGTCTCTTTGTGTCTGTTTGCAGCTGTATTAAATCTCTTTGGAGTTGTTGTGGTCATTTTCTGTTTCTTTGTGGTCCTTTTGAGTCTGTTCTTGGTTCGGATGTATTACTTTGAGCAATATTTTTTGTGGATGAAGCCCAGGGCGGCTCTTTCAGTTATCCATCCTTAGAAATTGTACTCTAGTAATACCTTTCCATATAGTAAATCATTATACTGCCATTTTTTGTGATTTACTGAAAAGACATGCTTTTGTTCATGTGCTCCTTCTGTGGGTCTTCGTATCTTGAAGAAAACAACCCTCTTCTCTTCTCTCACTGTGTTCCACTTGCGTAGCATCTGCTACAGTCATTTCTTTTATTCCCATTACCTGTGTAATCCAAACAAAGAATAGAACATGTCCCTGCTACTACTTGGATTCCATTTCCATGCCCGTGTCCCCTTTCAGAAATGTCCCCAGTTCCGTGTGGGCACGGATGAGCATCACCATCTGTGCCGACAGCGCCACAGTAAGCAAAGTCATCAACAGCACTTGGCTTTTCATATCCGAGATCCTCGCCGACGGGGTGGAGGCGTCTGCAGATGGCGGGGATGAGTCCTCCTTTTTTGGTTGAAGTTGGTGTTAATCAGGCGTCTGAGCCGCAGCAGACCCCGCCAACCCCCCCCCACCCCGATCCCACCAAGTCTATTGTCTATTGTCTCGTGTTCTTTAGTTTTAATGGTCAGGTTGTAATTGAGGTAAAGCTGCTGTGTGGAGGCTCGCCGAAGCACTTACATACATACATACATACATACAGGATGATTACTTCAGTATGCTTATTTTTTCAACAGGATTCCTATTAGTTTTTTTTTGTAGTGAGAATAACGGCGACTAGAAAATGTGCAAAACAAGCATCAATCTCGCACGACGCAATATCAAAGCCGTTCACATAACATGTTACAGATGACATAACAGCCAAAAATAGACTGAAGCATACGTGTATATCAGCTCGAGTGTTCATTATATTCAAAAGCAAATAAAAAAAAACTGGCTTTAATTGTCCTGTGTGTGATGGCAATGATTTTTGGCAATTTCTTATCTAGAGTGGTGACCTTTTGTCAGCAGTGCTGAGCAAGACGACAACAAAAAATGTTATCAATTACTCTTCACATTAGTTTTGATACTTGAAACCGCTCCGACGTACCTTCAACATCTCAAAAAGTACAAATACGCGTGTCGCATCCTCTGAAATGAATGTTTGGAAATGGGAAAGTGATTTTTTGTTGTCGTTGTTTAACACTGGGTCAGCTTACAGAACTGTGTCCAGGGCTCAGAATCTCAAAAATAAAAGACCTAAAAAGGGCCCCACCTTACCAGAACTAAATGCTAGTATATATAATATATACATGTGTACAACCTGGGCTCTATAATGCACATTTCTGCAAATCTGGAAATTAACTGTAATCGAGGAGGCTCTTGCAAAAGTGTTTTTTTCATGATAATGTTAAAGCGCCTCGAGAGTCCCGTTTCCCTGGTGGAGAATAGGTTTCCATGGTAACAATCAGTGAGACCTGCTGACCAGTGGCACCCGCTGACATGGAAAAGTTGGCTCCTGTTTTGTGGTCTCTGACATCATAGAGACCACAGTAACACTGAGGACATGGTCAATCCTTTTTGTGTCCCCAAGGAAACTGTCCGGAGCCCGATGAGTAAGCAGACGGTCTGAGTCCGCTCCTTGCCTCCCACAATGGAATGGAAGTTTTTATCATGTTAAATTCATCCGAATGTCCTTCTAACTGTTGAATTTCTCCACAAGGACAAACTTTGCAGCGAATACAATTAGACAGCTACCTGAGGTCAGATTTTTAGTAAGATAAAAGTCTATCTTTTGTGAAGGGAAGCTTACACAATTTCGGGCCACACTTCCACAATTTCTAATAAGACAAAGTACCTCCTTGCGTTAGGACTCAAAGCTAACGTGTTCGAGACCATTTTCTCCACTGAATGCGCATCAAACCATCGAGTTCCCCCTCAAAAAAGCAAGCAAGTAGACCTTTTGAAGCGTCGAGTTTCAGAGCCCTACTGGGATTAGTTGGTGTCATAATTGCTGAATTCAACAACAAAATAATCACAGTACTGTCACATGTTACAAAACGATTTGAAACACAGTTTTTCAGACGGAGAAGATGCATTCAAACAACATTCTAAGAGGTTGTTACGCAATCAATCAAAATGATGCAATAATATTCTTGAAAAATGTCCACAGATTAAAATTGTACTTGAAAGAACAACGACCTTGTATTATTTTTGCTGTATTAGCTAGTAACTACATGGCGATCTGACGTTCACTATGTTCTACAATCAAAATGATTTTTTTTTTAATCCTAACTGAAGGGAGCAGAGACCGATCGAAGAGTTGAACAGTCATGCCCTGCAGCCACGGCGGCTGTATCTCCTCCCCTCTGGTCCAGGTTGAACGAGCGGCGCTGCAGCAACGTCAACTCTGGCGGCCCACACCTCGCTGCTCACACGTTGGTGCAGTTGGTCGAGGGCGGCGTGTCCGCTTTGCTGCGGATCTCCCTGATGTCGTCGAGCGGCGACTCACTTCCGCCGATCTGGCATTTGAACACCTGCTTGTAGGCCTTCCTGAAGTTCTCCGACAGGAAGGCGTAGATGACGGGGTTGACGGAGGAGTTGCTGTACGCCAGGCAGTGGGCGGCCACCCGAAACACGAAGGAGGCCTGGTTCAGAGGGAACGTTCCAAACTCCACCCACAGGTGCACGACGTGATGAGGGAGCCAAGAGAGGCAGAACACCACCACCACCACCAAGACCGTTTGAGCAGTCTGGGAGCCGCAGATTGGGGACAGAGAGGAGTAGGAGAGAGATTTAGTCATTGAGAACATTGATGCAGTATTCAGGGTCAAGCCATGTTCAGGATAAAGGAATAAAGTCAGGTATGTCTTCTGCTGCTGCTTTAGTCCGAAAGCAGCATGAACATCGCTGCATATCGTTCCCATTCTACTCATTTCCTTGATAACAAATCTTTCACTGAATGAACTTGGCGGCCAAGTGCAAGTGAGACTACTCTGAGTTATTGGGATGGATGTTTTATCATGACCCTCGGTGAATGCAGATGTGTTTGCAAGGTATCATTAAAAACGTTGGGCCACATGCCAGTCTCAAAATATATTTCTATAAGCTGCAGTCGTGTTGTTGTTTTGTATTAGCAAGGTTATCATAGCAAGAGTGTGAAACAAAGTTTAAATAAATAAATTGCGGCCTGGAAACCCTAAATAATTGATGCGAAAATTCATTATTTAGATGATGTTCCCCACGGCAACATGTTTCCATAAGGTTTGTTTGGCCTTGGTCTTTACAGGATTATAGGACTTTCTTGTAATAACATTTTTTTTTTTTAACTCCATTAGGAGAAAACGCTATGGAAGTCATTAGTGACTGTAGATCTCACGGACGGAGATCTCTATCGGCGGGACGTGTTCTGTCGTGCAGTTACCACACGCCGAGGACCCATCCTCACATAAGACACCAACACAAGATGCTACTAAACATGGTGTACTGACAATGATGACAAGGTGGATAGAATACAAATTATAACCAATTTAACGGAATGTCTCAGTGAAAACTGGTGGATTTTTTCATTCAAGAAAAATGCCTACAGCTGGGAAGTTTCACCATGAAAAAAAAAACTAATTACATGCTGTCTGGTCTGCTGAATCCCTCTACTGGATTTGAATCTACCAAGTGGATTTCTTCAAGGATGCTGAGGAGCAACAAATTAATTAGAAAAAGTGCTTCCTCTGCAGTTCTGTTTCAGAAAAGTAATATATGACAAGAAAAAAATGTTAAAACATCCAATACAGCCATTCGAGCATGGTTTGATTTTAGTGTGACGTAACACTCGAGGTCGCACAAAAATTATTTTTTATTATTTCTTTAGATGACGGATGCTGAATCGTTGCTGCCGTCTTTCAAGCTGCGATAGAAAGCAACGATGAGCGATTGAATCTATTTTTATTTTCCTTCGGTTGCATTAGGAATACCGGGGTCATCGACACTTTGTCTTTTTTTTCAGTAAGGGCACCAGAGGGCGCTGCTGTACAGAATAAGTTACTGGGCTTTCTATAATACAGACACATTCATTGCAAACTAAACTTGCCTATTTCATACATTTTTCCAAATTTACATCATAGTCTGAATCAAATCTCTTCTCTACAAAACTACCGATTCATTACTGTGTGTCTTTGTGCCTGATGCTTCTTGCTCAAATGCGCTTGTGGAACTAGCCGCACTTGTGGCCCCGAACCGTCAAACCACGTGCACATGTGCGCCTATTCACCCCCTGGTGTGAGGCCCAATGGCCACGGACCCTATACGCTCCCCACTGGCTGAGTTTAAAGGCACATGGTTGTACTGGTAGCGTTGGCCAAAGGGGAACTGATGTTGTACTCATGTTAACGTTACAAACACGTTTGGGATGTTTTACTTCAGTTTGATTTAGCATTTTGAATAAAACATTTGGGGCCACGTAGACTGGATGATCTAGTCATATTTCAAGAAGGGAAATATTAAAAAAAGGATTATTTACCCGCGAGGCGTTCAAAAGGAAAAGACATTAAATGTAGGTCTGTCCTACTTTCCATGTCTGGAATGTCTGGAGTGGATTCAAAAACACAAAACATCTTTCAGAAAGGCTGCAAAGCAAAAAGTTATGATCTCCGTAGAATAATAACATTATGAAAAGGCCTCGCGTGGGTGAGGGTTATGTTGCCGGCTCATTAAACCCCGGCATTTCTGGATGCATTTTTGAGACTATGCGTGAGACAGACTTCAGGCTAAGAAACGATTAACATCACGATGCTCGTCAGTATTTTAAGGACACTTCCGGCACTGTGCAAAACAAACTTTTGGACTGCAGGGAGAATGTTTATGAGGATGAGATGCTCGACAGCCAGCAGATGCCCTTTCGTTGCTGTGCTGGCAGATGAGACCACCGGTGTGTTCTGCAGGTGATAAACGGTCGCAGTAATGTGCCGTATGGTAAACGGTAGGTTGGGGGAAGTCAGTGATGTGAAGGACAAATGGGCCGCTGGCATGGCGGGGGCCCTGTTGGGGGCCCTGTCGGCCTCTCTTTAGCCCCTGAACCTGAATAACAAGCTCATAGCGCGAACATAGGACGGCGCTGTGGGAATGAGTGGGAGTACAGTGTACATGGAGTTCAGACTGTTGATAAAGAGCACTATTGAAGTTAGGTACGCGCGTTAATTTAACAATTTAGCACTTCAAAAAATCTGCTCTGCAAGAATTTCAGAATTGGCCATGTTTTTCTCTTATTCTCCCAAGGAAACGACTGCTCTTGCAGTGACATCCCATTTTTAAACAACAACATTCACACCCAAGATAAGGTGACCATCAATGAGTCCTGGTGTCTTTTCATCCACCAGCTGGAACCAAATCATGTTTGTAAAATCATTTCTAAAAGCTGAACTCCCTCCGCTAGCAAAGCGAACTTAGTGCCTTCATGAAATGAAATCTGAGCTCTAGTTTGAAACCATGACACTTTTTCGAATCATTATCACAACAACAATGAGCAGCGCTGAACCCGGGAGGAACCTTTCTGCTCCGAAGAGAATCAAATAATTTACGTGGAATAAAATGGGATTGCTGAGGCTGAATCGGGGCCTCAGGCTGTCCTGTCTATTCAAAAAAAAAACTCATCCGTGGCCCGTTGGATTTGGGAAGCTTGCACACATGAGGCACCAGCACCATCATTCCTCTTCAAGAAATGAACTCCAGCGCTGAGTCATATTGTTTAATTGGTCTTCAAGTACCAGCTGCTGCATTGACGGAAATGGATGCAATGTTGTCCTCATGTTGGTTTTGTTTCAAATGTTTATCATCCCTTCTTTTGGTGACACGTACGGTCACAGTGTCTCTCCTCCCGCACTCGGACTCAGCTCATTGGGTGTTTGACTTTTCTCTTGCGGGCCCAACAATATTTTCAATATTCAAAACATAGCGTTATCAAATGCAACACACCACATGTCTATCCCGTGGTCGTAATATTATATCACATCGACGTTTCAAACGTCTTTGTGTGTCAGAATCCCCCACTGCATTCAGATTATTACTTGTGGATTTTCTAACAAAACCTGTTGACACAACTCGGTTTTGTAACGGAGGGTTGGAGAGCTTTTGAGGCGGAGGTTCTTACCAAAAAAGCACAAGACCTGTTTGGACGCTCTGAAGCTTTTCTGTTTTGGTGAATGTGGGAACACTCCATGCTTGAAAATATAGAGTTATGTTCATTTTGAAAACCTTCAGTCTGTGTCGCCGTCTCACTTCTCGCCGTAGCAGCAGTCGGCAAATCTTTTCAGAGATTTATTAGAACGCTAATAAACCAACCGCACACTGCCTGCTTATCACCAAATATCAAAGTCAAAGGTCCAGCTAGACGGTGGAGCATCTGGGGAGCTGGAAACTTCCTTCGGGAGTTGATGCAGATTTAAAATGAAACAGTACTGCAAATGAATGCTGATGTATCTGAAGGTCGGCTGCATGGTCACATACATAACTTCATTTAGTTATTTAGTTATGCTCTAAATCAATGTTGATTTCACTGCTTGTTGTGAGACTGCGCATCTAATCAAACAAGAAAACGAATGCAGCAGAATGAACAATCTCCGAAAAACAATCTGTCCAAGCCGTCCAAATAAAATCCAATAACTGTGGGTACAGTTTGAAACTCGAACATATGTGGAAAAGTGTGTGCAGTCTGATGAAACGCTTCATGATCACCATTCACATTCTCACAGTCAATAAGGTCAACGGTAAATATTGTCCAGAGATATCAGCCCCACCATGGTTCAATACACACACACACACACACACACACAGGCACAGAGGCAAGGAGAGGTTCCCACAGGGTAGCAACTTAATAACCATGCTTTGTTTGGATATCCTCAATAACACGTTCATATCGTCACCTCAACCCCCTGACAGCCGCCAGTTGGTTTAAAACAAACAGCAGCATCAACACAAGAAGACAAAACTAACCAAGTGCATTTTGTCCCCTCCACACACACCTTTCTCTGCTTGTATTGTGTCAAAAAAAGGTTCCTGCAACTCGTTAAATATTTGACAAAACGCTGTCAAGAATGACTTTTGACATATTTGTATAAAGTTAACTTGATCAAAAGTATTAAATGTTACTGTTTAGAAATGTATACAAAGTAAAAGACACAAGAGACACAAAGACACAAGACAGGGTGTTGTCCTTAAAAGCGCTTCATGTCTTGCATGTGATTCACATTAGTGGGCGGCATTTCCCCTCTGCGGCTCCGTCCATCAAATCTAGATTCTACATGTAATTTAGTCACTTATAAAGAACAACAAATAACAGCAGGGCAAGAATAAGAAAAATTCAACCAAAATGTGTAAACTCCGGTCGAAACAACACTGCTGTCATTTGTTCAAAACCAAAGTACACCTGAACGAAAACACCTGACACCCCCTTAGATTTCTTTATCTGCTGCCATGTACTGTATGTACATCTTTAGCGTATTCATCCCCCAGAGATGAATCACTCTATTACCTATTAATAAGTACGGTTGTACTACAGATCACTACTTTGTTACCACAACAAGCAGCACTGTGTTGCCGTGACGTCCCGTCTCATAACTGTGAACTGTGCATTGGGTGTGAAGTTGGGCTCCGTGTGGCTATTGTCAAAGTGAAAATATTGCTGAATGAATTGCAACTTTTGAAATGGCCCTTTAACGTTATTTTGAATCACCATTGACTCCACTGAGAGTGTATCTCATGTGTTTGAGTGAAAATGCATCCAATCAGCATATTCAAACTCGATGAGCATCTCTGTCAGAGACGAGCAGTTGGGTCTCTGAAGTAGTTTGGTCCTTTGCCCTCCATGTCTCAGATTACAGATGCTATTAAACAATTTCATGAAGATTTGGCCAAATATTGATTTTCCTCATTATCTCTAACCATCTGTGTGCTCCGTCTGGATACCTGACTGACTCATCATTTAGAAGAAACTCCTAATCACGCAGTGCAAATTTGGTTTTTTAACCCCTTGCTTTACAATGGGAATACATTAGAAACGTCCTTGTTGCCAAGTAAGACGAACTCCAACCCCGTCCAAAAACATTGAACGCGGAGCCATTAACAAAAAATACAACATTTCAGATTTCTCTTCATCTGACCAGAGCATTAAATCATTAACGCCACATTTATTCTATCCATGCAAAAAGGATTCAGGAAGATTTATTGCTGTTTTTGTTCAAATCTTTCTCCAAACAATCACCAGAAACCCGCCTGAATTTAGCATCATTCTAAGTGAAGAAGCGACGTACCTGTGTTACCTGAGTGGAGCAAAGCAAGTTTAAAAAGCTGATTTAGCCTTCAATGTCAAGCGATATTAAGAAGACATGTCGCGGGCGTAGATGTAGAGCAGGTCTAAAGATCAACGGTTCCTCCCGCACGTTGAAGTACCCACGAGCACCTGAAGCCCGAGAGGCCAGCGAAGGGTGTTAGGGTGAACGGGTGAACGGTGATGTGCAGCCTGAATCGCTTCATTCGCTGGCAGGAACGACCTCCGCGCTCATTGATCAATTACTTGTCAATCAAGTAAACTGTGGTGTCATATCGCCACGGCACGCAAATCAGTAGACTCACATTCAGTGAAGGGGGGGGGGGCGGATTCAGAGGTCAGGACCAAGGCCAGCTGTCCCGTTCCTACGGAGGGTGTAAACAAGTTTGTCTAGAGGTGTTTCACCGCGGCAGTGGGCGTAACTTTGCTCTTCCCAGCTGTCAATGACATTTGCATTTCACAGGCTTAGTCCCGCCTCTCTACCGTGGACACAGAGTGGCCCCCTGTAACCTGTTTATTTGTCTCATTTATTCCTTTTTTGAAAAAACCCACTGCTTTACAATATGGGTTTGAAGTCATGACACTAACCGTATACTTCCAACAATATTAGGAACAGCCACAACGTGGCTTTGAGACAACCTAGTTTAGGCTAAGAGATGATTTCGCCAGCAATTTTTGCGGCGTTAAACGTAGCATTGATTTCACAGCAATTAAATATGTCTTTACATAACCGTCCGTAAACCTGTTGCGTCAAAACTACTCCTCCAAAGTGTGCTGCAGCCAATCAGTGGACACGGGGAAAGAGGCGCGGCACACCAGAGACAGTTCCCACATTCGTGAGAATAAGACATCAAATTCATTATTTGGACAGCTGTTGGGGGGAAAAAAATATATTTTAACGGATATGATGAATGATGTCCTCTTGTCTGTTATAAAGTGCAGGATTTCTTGTGTTTGCATTTACAATTTTGATATCTTCATGACTTGGAATTATATATATATATAAATAAGGTGGACCAGCTCTTCTCATTGAAGTTACAAGCCGCTCAGTCCTCCCAGACACACACACACACACACACACACACACACACACACACACACACACACACACACACACACACACACAAACACAGTTTGCGTCTGAAACCCTTCCGATTGAAATGATTAATGGCGTATTCATATTTTATATGTGTATTAACAGTCCGTTCTTACATTAGTTGTGGCTTCACACTTGCTATCAAGGTATCAGCCTTGGTTCATTTGCCCTGTTTGATTTCTGTTTGTCGGTGAAACATTTCCTTTGTCTCAATCAGCACTGTGCACAACGGACACAGTATGCGAAAGTCATGGTTTAAACAACAGCCAACAAAGCATGAATGTTGGGATGGCGCATGAGCACATTTACATGCTCAACAATCCCTGCAGACAGGCAGTCTGACTGAAAGACACAATGACAGACAATTGAGAAGGCGACAGCAGATAAGTGTCTCTCAGGGAAAGCTCAATGGCCGTGAATCCACCTGGAATAATAAAGGCTAGATGGCGGTTTGATTGCGTATCACCTTTTAGTGACACTTGGCTGGAGTGTGCCAGTTAACCACATGTATTATTATTTATTTAGAACATTATAATGTTATAAACATTACATTATAATGTTATAAACACCTTCTTTTGACTGCTTTTCTAATGTGAGGAAATGGTACGGCATGTTTTTGTTTTATTTTTGTAAATGATGACATCTTTTCATCATTCGTCATTATCATTGGAAACATTATCATGATGATGGCAGATAATTGTTCATTTTTGAACATTTATTCAGGTTTTCAGGTGGTCACCTAAAATATATATATATTTTAAATAGAATTGTTTTTACTGCTAAACATTAGATTTTCACATTTCAGATCATATTTTATCAACATATTATTTTGTTATTGTAAATCTCACAAATTCACTGTGAGTCATAAATCCTCCCGTCGTTTTATCTGCAGTGTTTATTCAGTGTGTCTTCGTTTGGCCATACGTACCTTTTTCTTTGATGCCTCTGACTTTTTGGACATATTTCTTAGCTTTTTATGCAAGTGATTTAAGACCTGTAAGCAAAGAAATAGAGGCATGGTATATTTCCGAACGTCTATGAATGTCCACAATCATGCGATGACCCGTGCGGACATCGCTCCTTACCTTTGCGTAACAGAAGGAAATCAGCAGCAGAGGCAGAACGTAACCAAACACAAACGTGCCAACGACATAGACTTTCTTCTGGTTTTGGGGCCACACTTCCCAACAGAATGTGTGATTGTCTCTTGAGTGGAAAATGTTCTGGTAATACATGACTGGCGCGGCCATGGCCAGGGAGAGTATCCAAATCACCACCACCCCGATCAGAGCATGCCTGGCCACCCGGATGGAGGAGGACCTTCTGGAGTGCACGATGGCAATGTAACGGTCCACCGACATGGCCGACAGGGTGAAGATGCTCACCAGCATGGACACGGTGAAGAAATAGTGGATGAATTTGCAAATGAAGGCTCCCAGCACCCACGTGGGCAGCATGTAGACGGTGGACTGGAACGGGATGCAGAAGAGCAGGTAGGACAGGTCCGCTATGCTCAGGTTGAGGATGAATATGTTGGTGGTGCTCCGTGGTTTCCCCGGTTTGCTCCTGGCCAGCACGGTGATCACCATGGAGTTGCCCAGCACACCGAGCGAGAAGATCAGCCCGAAAACCAGCAGCGTGATGAAGTTATCCGTGCCGATCCCGAATAAAAGTTTTTGGTCCTCTTCCTCCGCTCCGCTGAGGTTCCTCAGCTCCTCCGAGAGCCACGCGGACTCCGAAAAGTTCATGATGGATTTTCAACCCCCTCTTCAGACGAACTTAAACCTCTGCGGAAAGGAGCTAGGAGAGGTCTGCGCCCCGCTGCCGCCTCATCGCCGTTTTTAAGAGCACGAGTCGATGGTCCGGTGCGTCTCCATGCGCCTTCTTGTTCATTTATCTCAAGGTTTTGCCTCCCACCCCCACCTGTATTATTTCACCTCACTTTCTTAATAGGTGTAAACCAAACTACCTTCTTCTCCGTGCGGTGTTGGTGGATGTTGCCGCTGCGCGTCTTGGAGCTCGTCCTCGTTGCGCACCGGATGCGTCTGATCCACAGCCCGTTTGTTACAGTGAGGGACTATCGCCCCCCCATGTTATAGAAGAGGCTGGACTGTGTCATTCACGTCAGCACCCTGCGTAGCCTACCACCTCCCGAGGAACACTGGTGAAAAAAAGAAAGGAATATTTATCTGGATGCGTTTTAGTTTATTAACCATCTCTCGTATCATTTTGGGTGCCAGAGGCCAAAAGTAATGTTCCAAGTCAGACTTAATTGGTTTTGACACAGTGTCAGTGAAAATGTTACTAAAATTGCTACATAGCACAACATCTGGCAGTCTTGCCGGTTGCCTTGTCGTTACTCATGGATAAATTAGCTTTCTGAAAACATAATACGACTATACTTTTAATGGGTTATACTAGAATCTATCAGAACACATAAAAATAATTTAGCAGCTAAATGTTTCCATCGAGTAAGAGACAATATGAGATAAGATCTTGGGTGGTTCTTTTAAGAAAAGGAAAAAAGACCATCTTTTTGATCAAAAGTACGTGATCTCCCTCAGGTTGAGCACATTCCCAAGATAAGTGTTATTTTCACAACGTAATGGTAAAATATGTTGCCGTTTTTGATAATGTCTCTATTGTACAAATGTTTCTATTGTACAAATTGTCTTATTGTAAACAGAGACTCTCTATTCCACTGATAACACAACTATAGCAGTAATATTTATCTCCAGAATATCAAAGAGATGTCAGATGTGTCTGAGGGGGCTCTACCTTGTGCTTAATCAAAAAACAAGCTGGTCATGAGCAGTTATCTGATCGGATCAAGTACTGGCGTTTAAATATTTTTTTCATCAAACCTTTTAGTCATTAAGTCCGTAAACTGTTTGAAGAAAATGAAAAATCAGTTTTCAGATTTTAATTTGACGGCTTTGTGAGTGTTCTGTTCAGAGAACATCCCAAAATCCAGAGATACGCTCTAAACAAAGGAAATCCTCTCATTTGAGAAGCTGGAAGCAGCTCCCGTCCAACATGCCTTCAAAAGGTTTGAAATGATGAATACATTGTTAAAATGTTTACCAAAGTAAACATCTGCCCTCAGTGGTGGAAGAAGTACTCACAATGTTTAATTCAGCAAAACAATGTTAAATAATGTACGTAAAGTACAACAGTCAAATTATTAATGCGCAATGTATCATTTCAGAATAATGTACGTGTATAGATTATTATAACGCATTAATGCGTGCATTATTTAAATAATCCAGCTGTTAAAGAGGAAGCTGATTTTAATGACTTCATGTGCCTTGATAGCTTGTCGTAATTCGTTTGTTGATTGATATTTTATATAATCATGTCATAACAGCTAATAGGAAACTAAAGGAAGTCAAATAAATGGAGCAGAGTAAAGAGAACAACATTATCCTCAGTTGTGTGCTGTGGGATCATAAAGCAGCGTGGATGAAAATACTCCAGTACTTTCATCTAGAGTCTCTTCAGCGTGGTCCCTCAAAATTGTACTCGACAGTCCGGTAGCAGTGCAATAATGGTGGGAAATTCACTGGAATTTTCTGCAACCTTGAAGCTTGTTTTCTTCTGTCGGTACACTCTATTGCTGAACATGGCAAATAGTCAAATGATGTACCATGGCCCATTCATTAAAATAATAAGCATTGGAAAAGCACCCATCAGATTAAAATTGTTTTAACTCTGGCTCCATCTTGGGGCCCATTGCTGTGGTGTTTGATTGCCAACTACTAATTCAAATTCAAAGCAAGATGTTATTGTGACGCATCCCATCTGCAACCTGTACCGACTGAGTCTGCGCATGGAAGTTGTGAACCCTCACCTTCAAGTTATTATGGGGAACCAGTTATAGTTGCAGATGGATAAATCCAGACATATTTAGTGTCTCTTTCCTGCCATCTGAGGAGGTGAGCTCCAAAGTCTTTAAGCTCTGTTTTTGGTCCCCACCAGCCCTTGAGGAAAAACATGGGTTGAATACTCCACTATGTTGACCGCCTCGTCACTGACTGACGCGCTGTTACGACTGGATTTTAGCACTACCTTCTTCTTGATACAACGCTATTTATTCTTATCTGTTCCTGTTGTACGTAAGGGGTCCATGGACGATAGCAAACTGAAAGCCAACGTGTCATCTCCTGGCAGGTCACAAGTAAAACACCCTTGCAGTGATAGAACAGCAATGAACAAAATAGACAGTGTGAGACTGGTATAAAATTACAGACAAGTACGTCACAGAAAAGTTGTTGCTTTGACAGAAAGAGGTAACTTCATTGAGGCAGTGCAACGAAAGATCACGACAGCGGTGCTAGTAAGTCAAAACAACAAGTTGTGGGCCAGGCGGGTCAACCCTTCGCAGACTAGGCCTCTTTTTTGGCCTCTGCTCCGAAAATGACACATCCATGGTAAAAAGTGTAATAACTCCGGAATGACTTTGGTCTATTTGTACAATATCTTTTTGTGGGGGGGTAAAGTGCTATGATGTGTGACAATCAGTGTGTATGTTACTTGTGAAAAAATATATCAATATTATGGTAGTGGTGCTGACCTGGTTCTGGCTTGTTTGGGCCCCAACTGGGATCTGCTGGTCTCCAACCACCAGCTGCAAATAAAGCTCCATAAACCAAGCAGCACTGCAGATTCATTGTGTGTAGGTTCATCACTCACACAGACCCGTCACATCGTCATTGAAAACATCGTGGTTTGAAAAAATGTCCATTGTAGCCGCTTTTACCGGTGACGGTCATGTTTTTTGGCAGATTTTCTTTGTCTGTTCTGTGTCTCTCTCTGTTTGTTCTACCTCAACCTCCCACTCTTCTTTTCCCTGAAATCTAGATGTAAATGCTCACTAGAAGTAAAGAACCCTTCATGTGTGCTGGAGAGCTTTTTCCCTTTTGTTTCACTTCCATCTTGTAACATAGTGCGGACTCATTTTTCTTGCAGCAGCGCTGGTTCAAGGAGCACGCTTGTTTTCACTTCCCTAAACCTCCGCTGACCTCTTTTGTGTTGGTTCGAATCTCCTTAGATACTTAGAAGGAAGAGGTGAAAGTTCACCGAGCTCTGGCAGCAGAGATTGCAGAGGGGTGGAAACGGGGGCAGGACGGAATGATTCGGCGGTTTGGGGCTCTGGTCACGTGTTCAGAGCCCACAGGCGCCGCTCGACGCTGTGCCTCCAAACGAACCGAAATGGTGCTGGCAAAAGGCAAAGCAGAGCAGCGAGCGCACACAAGCGTCATCCATCCATTTGGCCTTTGCACATGATTTGATCTAAATGGTCAGTATAATTGTTATTCAAAGGTCAGACCCACAATAACAACCAATGCAAAACAATAAATGACTATTTTATAGGACAGAAACGTTTTTCATTTACAAAATTGTATTTCTAATTGCTGTACTTCTTAGGTAAACAAATACTTTAGTTTGAAAGTATACATAACATGTGTTGATGTTTACTTCTATCTTCTTCTATTATCAGTGATGTGCGTCATTGCTATTTGTTGGTGCAAAAATCCCAATTAACTTTTGCTTTCAGGGAACACTTTGAGATTCTGGGACGAATCCTTAAATGCAGAGAGTCAAGGAGAAGATTGATTTTACTTTCATATTTCTTTCTTAAATATTGTGTCGCAGCAAAAAAGCAAACAATAATTTCCCCAAATGTCAAATTCCCTTTAAAAAGTTTCTTATGGAATTTTTTATCTGACTTCTACAAAGTTGACTTGCTTACAAGAGACTCAAGACAAAGGACAGTCAAATTATATGCAAGTGAGGTCAAGATCTCATTTGATGTGTCATAAACCATAAATCCTACATTTCCCACAACGCAGCGCTATCCTGGTATTATATCCATCTGAATCATAACCACAGCCTTTTCTAATTAAGTTGTTTGAAAATGAGATAAAACAGCCTATTAATAACCACCAACTGCCAGCAACTTACACGTTTCTCAGGACATTTCTTCCACCAGATGGGGCTGTTCAATGTCAACATGCGTTCTTGACTTTTTCTTTAACCTAGCTGTGATGGCAATCATTCGGTAGCTTAATGCGTGTTCGAGTGTTTAGGCTCATCTGGATGAAAGTTTGCTGCTCTCCGGCACTTATTCCCCAGTGTGTGTGTGTGTGTGTGTGTGTGTGTGTGTGTGTTTGGTGTAGACATCAGGAGAAACAATGAGAAAACCAGCTGATTTGATTGAACAAAATCACGCACGCTCTGGTTTCTTGGCTTGTTTTGCTGCACATTAGAAATTATTTATCTGTGTTCCGAGTATTGCGCAGATGATTCGGTCAGGCTTTATTGCTCATTATATTACAGTAAGAAAAAAAAAAAGCATTACTGTACCGCTTTTTAAAATAAAGAATAAAAAAAAAGGTTGTCATCAATTAATGAGGTTTTGTAAGAGTTGCGACCTAGAAAATTCAAAGATTATTACCACCATAAGTCAGCACGATCATTAGAGACAACTGCAACTTGGACAGGTTTGTAAACCTTCTATTTTGTATCTCCAGAGGAGCTAAGTGCTTATATTTTGGGATGAGATTGGATGGTATTCTGGGCGTCAGCACCAAACATGCTTCATGTCCAAACCGTTGGAGCGTAGCTATCAGCCTCACCTGTGAAATCCTGTGTGAAATGAGTCTTTGTCTGAAGGATTTGTATTTATTGCCATGCCTGGCAGCAGCAGCAGCTTTGCTCTGCGTAGGATGTTATCAGCTTTTCCCCCTTTATGTGATTAAACCCCAGAAGGTGAAACAAGGCAACGTTTAATATCCAACAGGTTCCTTGGAGGTCATTAGACAAATGTGTAGAGATAAAGTGCATCTGCTCATACAACATCCCAAAGCTCTCTTTGTAAGGAAGAACTTTAAAAAAAATACTGTTCTTGGTAAACCTTGAACATAAAGAATGAACGTTAGCAGTTATAAAATATGGATTAACATGTGCTAAAATGTCTTGCATGGATCCTGAGGCTCGGGTTATAATTACTTTGCAGATTTTACGCTACGAGTCAGCGCTGCCTGTGGGCATTGCCTACTGTCTCTTTTCTACAAAAACATCTGTGCAATTTCTCAGTCAGGGGAATTTCCCAGACACATTGTTTTGCTTTCAATAACTTTCATCAATGCATTTACATACAAATTGCTGATATTATCCGGGACACATCGGTATTGAAATGCCAAAAAGCCACCGTTAACTGCAGCAGAGACCGACGGTGCTTCATGGGTTTGATCGAGTGGCACCGGGTGCATCCGCTGCCACTGATCGATAAACTCCAACGTGGTGAACATGATTGATTATTTTTTTGCTTCATCAACAAAGTAAATAATGTATCGATGTTTTACCTGCCACAAGTCTCCCGAGACTTGGGATTTTTTTCAGACAAATCAGCCTTGGTAACACACTCTCACAAGCTCTGGCAACTAACGTTCACAAACACTGCAGCTAACTGTGTAGCTGTCTAATATCGTTAGCAAATAAGAGTATCAAGACATTATTTCAATATAACCCAACATGCATCAATGCACCCAAATGTTCACAACACAACTAACAGTAGCTTGCTAATACATCATGAAAATGTCCTGTTACTTCATCAAAATCTACTTATTATCTCCAGTGACGAAATGCTAACAGCGTTAGCACAATGTGCTTTTGATTGGACAGTGCTACCGATGCGATCAACTAAAGACATATCTCAAGTTTTAACAGTTCATGAAGTAAATAGATTAACCAGCTTTTCCTTAGTAAAAGCATTATCAGGACCTTATTCTTGCTAGTAATAAAAACTTTTTTTGTTGTGTCTCAATGCATCACAGGCCGTGTTTTCTACAATCTTACCCAGCTTATTCTGACCCAACTCCAGCGTTTGCTGCTAAAACATCTTTCTCTCATTGGCGAGTTGTGAATGCAATTATAGGCAACCGTTTTAGAAATGGGGAGAGAACAACATGTTCATTGGGAAGGCCTTTGATCGTTTCAGAGTAATTATATTTATATCATTTATTTATTATGTATCTGTTTCTGGAATATATTACTCAACGGTATAGCTATTAAACAACACTGGCTTATTCATGAAAGTGATGGAGTAATGTACGTTAATCAAGACATTCGAAGCAGGTTTTGTTTAATGAAGAGCAAGAGACTCCGTCATTCATTAAATGCTTATTATATATAAATGTCCCTCTTTGCGGTGCAAATTCTTGAATATTAAATATCGTTTTTTGCTCACAAGAGTTAACAAAGCTGGGTTTAGTTGTGGTTGACCACAATCGCCCAGCAGGGCCTTTCTTACACAGGGCCGTCTCCACCAGCTACATATAGTTGAAAGATGTTGCATCCTCATCTAAATGAACCTTTTGTGAAGTATAAGTGGAAATCTCTCTTGCTGCTGTATGCATAAGGACTTTCAATCGGGCTAATTGCATTCAGGACCGATAAAGACGAGAGCAAGACACCTGGACTTATTTCCAGAAGGTAATTAAGCAAAACCTCCGGTGATACATAAAACATGAAATCTAGAGGATGTATCTGTTTAAGGCTCTTTGTTTCACCATCTGTCCTGGTTTGCAATGGAAACCCCGGGATTATTGCGGAATTAGATTCTCGAACAGTAACAAACGATATAATTATTTTCTAGTTTTGATAAGATATACATGACCGTGTTAATCTTGCCGAGCAATAAGCACACATTTGCTTCTCAACAAACAAAACAACCTCCCCCTTACCCCCGAGGTACTGTGATGGATAATCAATGCTTTTTTAGGCCCATTACCTCGACCGAGGCCTGGGTATTTCCATGACAACGAGCTACTGTATCTCTACCCAAATCAGTCACTCAAAGCTAATGGGTTATTATTGTATGACTGACGTCAGTGAGTCATTTTCTCTGCCTTGGGCTGATCTCCCTTGTTTCTGCCAGCAAGCCCCCCCCCTAGAACCAGCAGCCCACCGCTGCCCCTCACCCCATCACCGACCAACTCCAACAAAGCCTCGGCAGTCACAGATGCTAGAGAGCTCCGATGGATTTTACCCAGCCGTCCCGGATACATTATCACAGGCAATTTGATGTCTCTGGTCATTGCTGCATCATCGTGTTACAGCAACAAATCTGATCACCTATAAACAGGATTGCTCTGGCTCAAAAAATTGTCATCTGACAAACTATGACTCCAAACTTGGTAAACATGATACGGGCTAAATGTTTGCATTTGGCTAGAAGTGATGTTTCCACAGACGGCAGACTCCTGCACATTAACTAAATGTAAGATGAACAATGAACAACAGGATGAAGAATAAAGCACTGCATCCAACACGATCAATATGGAAATGACAGGAACATACATGACCTGAATCAGCTCGTATCAAATCAGGTTTTACAAAGGGAGTACTTGTTGTTCAGATGAAATATTACATTAAATTGTGCAGCTTTCATTTAGCTGAAGCTGTCATCCAACGTAACTTTTCAATTCAATTCATTTTATTTTGTATAGCCCAAAATCGCAAATTTCAAATTTGCCTCAGAGGGCTTTACAGTCTGTACACATGCGACATCCTCTGCCCCGAAACCCTCACATCGGCACAGGAAAAACTCCCCAAAAAATGAAAAAAACCCTCCAAGAGAGAAAAAAGGGAAGAAACCTTAGGGAGCACGTCAGAGGAGGGATCCCACAGACTACAAAGGATGTCATGTGTGCAGAATGAACAATGTGCAACACATTCAATCCCTATGACAGAAATGATTCAAATAATTGTGAGTAGCGAGCCAGGCGCACGGCAGGACCACTGCAGGGACAACTTGCAATAAGTGTTGAGAAAGCTTGTGTTGCTACATGTGACGGATACATTGGTTGATTACATATCAAGACTTATGGCGGTATTTTTTATTAATTTCACGCTGTGGGATTGGATTTTTTTGTCGTCACCTATCTCCCTTAAAGCACGGTATTTTCAAAGTCATCAGACAACGTGATCTCCAAAATGTGTTCGTAAAAATGTATACAAAAACCTTAAACATAGAAATTCGTAACAATACATAGGAACTGGCGGTGGTTAACCACGCCCCTTGAGTGAACAACATGGCGGACCATGTTGGATTCTTGAGTGAACGTCTCTCCGCCATATTGGATTTTTTGAGGGGGTTAGGGTTAGTATTCTATTCTTACAATTTAACATTGATTTCTCGTTAAAAATGCAATTATAACACGTTTACTTTACATTGTTAGACTTCACGAAGTGTGTTTACGGGGTGCAGGTCCCCGTTCACTTTGAATAGGGTGACGTCATCAGTTGCAGTCCGTATTTATTTCGTATGTATCACTACGAATTTGTATGTTCAAGATTTTCGTATACATTTTTACGAACAGGTTTTGGAGATCAGGCTGCATCAGATCGCTACACTGTGCACACAACACGCGTTAATAATCTGTCTTCTTTACATTACCTGCTGGAACTCTAACTCCGGGTCAAACACTTCAAGATCCCTCGTCAGGAATCCCCGGCGAGCTTCTCACAACTACATTTTGGTGCACATAAAAGTGACACAGGCGCAGAAATGCTTATTGATGCGCTCTCATTGGTCCTCCCCGGCAGATCCAGATTTCATTATGCTCGACATCTGTGATTCATCTCCAATCCCGGCGTGCTGGCTTTGAGCAGTTCACATGGATCAATGTACGCCGGTCTGCGGGGTTTTGAGCTTCAATAACTGGTTTCATCTGCTTTGGTGCTCACAGAGGATACAGTAACGACCTTGGTGGCTTGAGGTGATAAATGTATCAACAGAATTATTTCGTCTGTAAACAGAACAAGAAAATGGGATTCCATTGCTCACACGGACAGTTCCATTAGGGGATGAAGGTGTGAAAACTTTTTGTGTGGGACAGAAAATCAATACAAGATACTGTATATTTATATGTATAAGTGTGAAAAAAAGAACCTTTTGTTTTGTACATTCCTTCCAAGAACACTTTTGTGCAAACTTCGCTGACATTATCAGAAGCCAGAGTAGATCTAGATTCCATTCCAACTGAATCAATAATATGAACCTTTGCCTGCACGATTGATACATTTAATTTAGGTGCAGTGCTGAAATATTCAGATCAGTTAACAATGTAAAGATACTCCACGACAAGTGAAAGTCCTGAATTTAAACTGCGTAGCCTTCTGAAGTCATGTCACCAAACTGTAGAAAAGCGAAAGGAAAGTAAAGTAGGCGGTAATACTCGGATAATACTCGAGTAATTGGCAAAAAGCGACACTTTGGTGCATATTATCACCGTGGAAGTATATTGAAGTAAGTGGGTATATATGATGGGGATGTCTGTCCCCGCACTGTCTGAATAAAGTCTGCAGCCAGCGGATGTAACCCACCTCTCCCGAAACAACAACTGCCCTTGAGCAAAGCACCGACACACTGCAGGTTGCAGCCGCGACCGACAAAGCGCAGCGCTGCAGGAAATGAGCCTGCAAACCCCGTTGAGTTCCTTTTATTTGCGGCCAGCCGATGCGAGATATTATAAAAATAAAAAAATAAAAAAAAATATTATCCAACCGCAACCCTGGCGAGGAGCACAAGTCACACCAATAACACACCGGCGTGCACCAACGTGCTTTTTTGTCGGCCGCATATTTCTCGGCGGACTAAAGGCGCATTCCGCCCACCCCTTCAGGACACACACAGATCCGAATCAGAGCACCGCGACCGGCGTCTATTGCACCCCCCCCCCATCTGACACGGGACACTGACTGATTACAGCAACCGGGAAACCCACAAAAAGGTAGAGGGGGGGGCGGAGAGGAAAAGGCGTTATTGTGGGTGCCGACCGACCACCGTTTTTATTTTTTTGGAAGACTGACGAGTCGGTGACGAGAGGCGCAGCTGTGGATGCATCTGGCACAGAGAACACCGGAGAGGGGTACGTGCGCAGTCGACCTGGTCAAATTAACACACACACACACACACACACACACACACACACACACACACACACACACACACACACACACACACAAGAAGGAGAAATACGTAAAGACAGTCACACACGTTACCATCGCCCCCCACGGCCACTGCTTTATACTACGAAATACGCGGCGTGACGCTTGTAAACACGTTATCCGCGTCGCCGTGTTTACAGCGCGCGCGAGGGAACCTGCTCGGAATGACGCCTCCGCGCTCGTCCCGGGTCTTATTCCACCTGACGTGACTTGTGAGTGTTGTTTAATGAGGACCGCTGTCACCGAAAAGTGTCCCTGTTTGTCAGGTGCTTTTACAGTGTCCCCCCCCCGCGTCGCCCGCCTCCATACTACAACCACCACCAGCACCACCACCCGCCCTGTTGCCGTCTCTCGTTGGACCAATCACAGTTTACCGGCAGCGTGTTTTACAATTCTTCTTTGCTTAGTGGTGGTATAACACGCTGTTCCGGACGAATGTAAAGCCTGATGTCGATCATTAGGTGGGTTTCTTCCATTCGGCATACACAGCTTACGACAAGAAGTACTTAAATCCATTAAAAGTTAGACATTTCTAATTGCTCCAGCGCGGTTTGCTACCGGAAACCCCCGTGTGTTCAGTTGGCTGTGAGCATCAGACCACCGGGCTATTTATTTCAATCTTGATGAAAGTACGTTTCGAAAGGCGGGTCATTTATATGCCGAATTGATCATATCAGCATAACAATCATGTTAAAGTAGAAACAATGCCAAACGATGCATGTCATCATGCATCAAATTGTATCTTCTTTAAATTAGAAAAATTGTAATGGAGTTTTACACCGTCTTTTTTGTGGCACTTAAATGAGAGAACTAAACCTTTCTGTGTTGGTTTCAATAGATTATTTATTTATAGTATTACATTACATGTAATATAGACAGAAAACATCGCTGTATTACTGTATTACATCACTCTGCATCCAGCCAGCTTACCGTGTAAATTGACTTTACAAAAAAACAAAACAGTGAAGGCTTCTATCAGAAACCGTCCAAGTAAATTGGCCTAACTGAGCAGAACAACTGTTGATTGCTGTACTGTTGGTCAGTAGAAGCAGAGAACTGCTGAAGAAGATGTAACAGCAGACTCTATGACGAGATATGGACTGTCATGTTTACACACAGTCTGTTTTTTTTTTGTTTTTTTTTAAACACAGAGAGAAAGTGGGTTTCAACGCATGCTCATTTAATGTTGCTTCTATGCACGGCCTATAAATAAAATACTCGCACACGAGTGGCTGCATACGTCTGAACGGCACTGATTTATTAAAGCCTGCAGCCCTGGACGTCCTCCAGCCAGGGAACTATCAGCAAGGTGACCTCTGACTCCATCTTATACAAACCATGCACAGCTGTACTCCGCACCTTCATCCTTTCATCCTCCTTTATCTGATAAGGACAGAACACAAAGCAAATCACGTTAGTGGTTTAAAATCATGCTTTAATAAATATCACCTGTACCATGTAATGGCACAATCCCCTTGTGCTCACATGTACTAATAACATTACTTTACAGGAGCTTCACGTAGCAAGCAGTGTGTAGGTTACACTTCACATAGTTTGAGGAGAAGCCTGTGTTGGCTTGCGATTACCTGAGGTGGGAAAGCAGCAGGAATGCATTCCTTTGCATAGCTTTGGATTCGCCTCAGCTCAGCCGGCAAGGAACTCGCCAAGAGGTCTGCTCGGCCGTCACGTGTGGCACTCTGCATTCCTCTGCCTCGTGCACAAGGCGGGCTTTTACCAGCAGGCCGTGAGTGTAGTTTTGCCGACACTTAAGAGGAAGGTGTTCTGTTCGAATTCCCCACACTGCTCACAGCGTGTGTGTGTGTGTGTGTGACGTCAGGTGATACACTGAGGTTAGTCAACTTCCGTTCTTGCAGACTCCCAAACTTCCGCTCTTCTCTCACTTCCCCCCTCACCCTCCTGTCTGTGCCTGTTCTTGGCAGACAGGTTGAGTCACATTACCTGGTACACGAACACCTCGCATGGGGAAAAGGCGAGGCGCGAGCCTGTCCGCTTTCATCCACGGCGGCGTCACAGCCTCTCAGAGGCATTACAGCAGCAGAGGGTTCGGCCCGGACGAGTCGAGAGGTCCTTGGGTTATTAGGCGACTCGCCCCAGGTGGCAGCGGTTCTGAATCTCCACCGAGGGGCATTAAGCTTATGATGTGGGCATCGGGTCTTCATCACTTGCACACCCCAGGGAGGCACGGGAGGTGCCGATGCACAACATATGCTTGAATAAACAAGGCGATAGCCGCACACAGCATCGGACCCCAGGGAGTATTGTTTTCCCAGTAAAGTCTGAAGCCATCTGCTTCTTCAAGAGGGACAATCCCTCAGCAGTCTTTTCAGAATTTCAGAGAAATTGTGCCTAAATACAACAGCCGCTTTGAAGCCTCGAGTTTGGGATTTTGGCTGCGGTCACGTTTTTTCTTTGGACAGTCTTTTTTTTTTTTTTTCTTTTGAAACCATTCGCGATAAGGCAGGTTTGCGCCTACTACAACCAAACACTGATTGGGAGATTTTTAGTCAAATCAAAACCTTTCTGATTACATTTCATGACCTGAAAACACTAGAAAACACACTGCGAAGCGTTTGAAGCTTTAGGAGAAAATCGCAGACCTTCAACGCCGGCGGAGCCGCCTGTCAACCACAAGGTAGCCGAACCCTGAAGCGCACCCTGCTTTGTGCTCCAGCTCACTATACATGGGACCATAAATGACGTTTGATGAACGCCTGAAACTACGGATTCAGACCATACCAGACCATGGTGTTTACTTAATGAATCAATGAGAAGTAGAATATGTACAATCCGACTTTCTTTTTGCAAACAGAGGGAGGCGCCTCCCGCTTTGGCTTCGCTTTTGACACCAAGGCGTTGGTCCCTGGTTGATACACTTTACCCTCTTCTGCCCCTGTGCACGAATATCTAAGTGTGTGTGTGTGTTCACAATATAGATATATGGAATGAGTTGTTATTTTATCAAACTAATGATCATTAGAACAAAAAATACTGGAAGACAAGTCCGGGCATCTTAGTCGTAGCAGGAGAAGGACAACTGCTGCTGTCCGATTTGATCAGCCACAGCGAGCGGGAAAGTGAAGCAACTGTTGCTTCAGCCAACGCTGACGAGAATCCTGTTGGACTTTGCCAAAGCTGCAGAGTCAGAAGTCAGAATGCTTGCCACACTTGAATAAAGAAACAGTTGTTGCTCTAGTTACTCCCATCAGGTGTGATGTGAGGCCTGAATGGGTCGACATAGTGCTCAAGCAATAAACAAATGCAGAGAAAGTTTAACGCAACATTGGCTAATCTCATACAGGCAAGAGCACTTGGATCACTTTGTACTTGTTTGTTTGTGATCTTCTAAACCAGAGATGAATTATCATTATAAATAACTAATTGGTAATTTGAACAAACCGGTGGGTGCAGTGGGTTCTTTTTTTTATGTGAGAAATAATTTATTTTTGGGCCGAAAACCTTTTGGTTTGTTTTTAGCTTTGGAATGCTAAGGTATGACTCTCACTTTCTCTTCCACCTTTACATTGCTTCTGTCAAACACGGCATGAGCCTGTCCTGGCACCCTGACAGAGCAAACAAGTAAAGGCTGTAAGAGAGGGAGGAAGAGAGAGAGAGAGAGGGAGGAAGTCAGGCTTCCTGCAGCACGCACTCATCTCCATGTGCACGAGAAGATGGCAGCCGTGAGTGACAGATGTTGACCCTTGACCCTCAAATCTCTTGCCGTGAGAAGAGAAACCTGTTACTGGTACATAGGCAGTTTGTAGCCCCGTTCTATCAGAGCCCCTCTCCTCCCGTCTCTCACACACACACACACACACACGTTCGTGGGGTCCGTATTCATTACGTCATTGACTCCTCGGCGCAGTCACCACCGAGGCCAGCTGGAGGGCGAAGAAGAAGCCGCCTGTCCGTCTTGCACAAGAGCAAATCTGAAGCGACGCAGAGGAGCCAGGCCACACAGCAGACAAAGGCACACGTGCTGCAGCTTTAGCAGTGTCCTCAAAGAAATAGGTTTGTGAGCATGTTGCGCAGGCTGCTTATGAAACCCAACACGCTTGGAGTTGTTACAGCAGAGTGTTGGGTGGGTTTGTGCGCGCTGCTGCGGCGCAGAAACAGATCTGGAAAGAAGCTGTTTGGACACAGACCTGTTTTTGAACCTTGTAACAACGTCATTACCCTACATGATGTATACATCTATGATAATATGATACAACTCTGACTGTTTTTCTGCTTGGTTTCCCGTGTGTTCAGCACTGTAGTGACCCTGTATTAGTGGATTTACTGACCTAAAACCCTCTTAAATCCCGACAGAACGGAATGTGACGATGTAAATTTCCCCCAAAACGTATTTCCTTCTTGTCATCTGCCACTTCTATAGTAAATGCTGGCATTGCACACCGCCAGGGGGCATTTTAATGTACTAACAAGCTGCAGAGCGGGAAAACGAAAGAATGAAACGTGGCACATTGTTTACTTGGCTCCTCGCATCCATCTCGTCAGAAGTAGGACCACAAGCGAACTTACTGCAGGGACAGAAAGCGAGGCTTGTTTGAGTCGAATGGTATTGCTTCCAAACCTGATTTGCTCCCAAGAGTTTTATTAGCATTGTTGTAATCTATAGAGTAATCCATCATCCCGACGGGGGGATTTATGTTGCAGCGAGGTGATGCCCCTCTCCAACCAAATAAATAACCGTGCCTCCTCAACCCTCATTAACAAGCAGGACTGTCCCGCTTATTGGTTGGTTACATGTTGCTTGAGCCAAAATGGGAGCAGGCGGACGAGGGACTGTTGTCTTCACAGGTATTATTCCTTCAGCGGTTCTGGTGGACAGTGCAGCCGTCACAAGCTCAGCACTGAAAGTCCTCTCCATTGTTAAGGTTGTAAACCTGAAAGAGAACAGAAAATAGGTCCAGTATCCGCGACAAACCGGAAAACAGAAAGTTTGTTTAAACGTCGACGTGCAGTTTTTGTGTGTATTTTGTCTTTTTTTAAAGCGCCACATGTAACGGACAGATCGTTGCTCATATGTGCTGAGTGGTAATGGATCCTTCCAGGTGCTGGGCTGTATCCCGTCGCCCCATCAGATCAGCTTTTCACATCCTAATGGTGTACTTAAAAAGGAAAACAGAAACACACCTGGCTACTAACAGCGATGCGGCAGTTAATTTCCGAATAACAGCTTAAATGTGTTATCGCCGAAGTTCTGAAATGACACGAGGATGCGTGAGGAAAAAGCAGGCAAACTAGTGTTTTTTTTTTTAGTGCCATGTAAAAAGTACAGCGGGAGCATTGTAATTGCAGCCTGGTATCACACTCCCACCTCCGCTCCTCCTCACCGCTCCTCACGCTCGGTTATGCAACAATCCCTCGCAAGTCCTTGCATGATCTCGGCTTTGATCGCGCACCATCCGAGGGGGAGACTGTGTCTCAGGCCTCGCATACCCTCAGAGTCCCTGCATGTCTCTGCAGCCATCAGAGTGTATTCCAGCTGTTTGGCTAACCTGAATGCACAGCTGCCGTTAATATCTGCAGCCGGTGGTTTAGTCTACAGAGAGTTTCAGTTTATTCTTATAGCGACTTGTTTGCGTTTTCTCTGACTGTTACCGACGGCTTTATTATCAGATCAAACAGCACAGGCGTGAGTCAACCCATTGACTTCACAAAGGCCTTTCAAAATTACGTTTTTTTTTCAGAGTTAGTGAATGTTACGCCCTCGTGTATTTGAAGAATGTCAATACATTTCTTAAAGTCACTGACCTTTAATTTGTGGGAGAAGTCTCATGTCAGCAGGAGAATTAGCTTTCTCACAACGTGTTTATTGAGTGTTCACAAAAATAAACCACAGTTCTTTTCTTCATTCTTCTGGATAAGTCAAGTATATATCTACACTTCTACTAATCCGGAAGTAGTTTTCAAAGTTCATTGTTCATTTCTATGTATTGTGCAATATTATCTTAGGAACCATGACAATGAGTCCGGTCGTTTTTATTCCTTTAAGCTGCTTTAAGCCTTTAGTGCGGCAGCTAAGGACTTAAGCGCTTTCAAGAGTAAGCTTAAAAAAACCCATCAATGGCATTAATGTAGCAGCAAATAAACATTAGCTATGTAATAGTGTGTAGAGTCATCCTTGTCCAGATGCGTGTACTGGTAGTAAAATGGTGTTACAAGGTGGTTTTAATTTGTTTTAAAAGCAGCGTAACCGTTCGGGATGCTCTCCATTTTCTGACACGCAGCAGTTAGCTTGTTCGCTTTAGTATGTGTGGATAGTTATTACAGTGTAACACGCTCTCAAAAACATTGTTTCCATCCAAAAAATGCTTGCGAAAACCCCAACTGTAAACTACCCGCCCGGCACCACAGAACACTGTGGCAAATACTGGATCAAACGTGTTCCCAGTCACTACGCCGCTTACAAACAGCCAAACAAAACACTCGGGGCAGTTAAGTGTCTCTCTTTAATAAGCTCGTTCTCAGATGTGGCTGCTCCTCTCCGCCGAGAGGCATTAGTAGGCTACATTATAATGAGAGCGATTCTCAGAAGAGGAACTCGCTCTTGTTGGAAGAGTTTGGCGAGTGTTCCTGGGAGCCTTTTTTTTTAATTGCCATAGTGGATGTTGAAGCACTGCTGGAACTAATGTCTGTGGTAAACATTGCTCCCCCCCGTGCTCCCTGCACAATGCAACGATGCAATAGTTTGATGTTTATTCACCGTGGAAATAAAGTGTTAATTCCCACGTGTGCGTGCGTCCATGAATGTGCACATAATCATCATGATTGAATCTTCATTTCTTTTTATCTTTTATTGTGATGGTTCAAAGGCCTCATTAACATATTTTCTGATTCACCCGTGAGTGATTAATGCGAGAGGATCACTGCAAACAACTATTAATGCAGTTATTTAATTTTTGGCAATTTTGCCACGTTCCATAAAAGGAAATAGGTGCTCAAAATGGCAAAAGCCTTTTTTGATGTCAAAAACTCTCCTAGAAGCCAGAAATGCTCCACAAGATAATTTGAAGGGAAAGGTACTTTTTTCCTTTCTTGAAATAGTGTGTGCAGGCTGAGATTTTGTTATGTCAATACTCAGTACTACAGTTGGATAAAAAACAGTATTACCTTTAATTATAAAATTGTTATTTGCCTCAGTTGTGGAATTTTGAGATTCCCCTCACTTTTTTTTACCTGTTGCTCAGACAGTCTGAAGACGCTTTTCAGACACCAGAGAGTATAAATAAACATACTTGTGAGCGGACCAGCACCCTCCTCTTCCAACGCCCGCGGTCTAGCTGATTGGTCGGCGCCAGGGGCTCCGCAGCCGACTTTCGCACGAGGCCGAACGAGGCGCAATAAACTGGCGACCGCGCCAGTGTTTGTAGAGCTCTGTGTGATGCAGTTTCACACGCAAGATGCAGCCCTTCTCTATTAGATAAGGAGGAGGACGCACGCCTCACATAGCTGTTTACAGTGTTCTCTGTTTCTCTCACAGTCTCTGACAGAAGCATGGGCCAGCATCTAGGAAAGAGAGAATCACCAACACACAGCCAGGTAAGAGTCCTCGCAGCAGGCGTGTCATTTCCTGTTTTGTGCATGCGGAATAAGATTGATATCTTCAAATGTGTTTGTAGGATCTTTTTAAAACGACGGCCTGAGAACGAAGCATGTGTTGGAGAATTTTCTCCGACCTTATCAGTCTGAATACCGGCCTTCAGCTGCAGGACTTTGGACTCTGTTCTGTCATTCTGATTTATTGCCTTCAGCTTCTCTCAGACCGTTAAGGACTTTACAGTGAGCTGGTCGTGAATGCCTTCGGAAAAAGTCACAGCTTATGTATCTCAAAGCTCTATGCCTGGAATGTTTTCTTTAATGTTTAAAAGAATATATTTTGAATATATTAATACATATACAATATATTGATTTCTGGGACTCTGTTTGTGGTCACATCTGACTCTGCCCCGAATTCAGCCACTCGGATCACGAATCAAAGTTTTGCAGTGGTCACGCCGCGCGGCCACAGGCAACTCTCCATAGTCCTTCCTCAGACGTATTAAACTATGGAATAATGCACCGACTCTTTGGTTCACATGGAGCGCGTTGTCGTGGCGAGAGAAAAGATGAGGCGCAGACGACTTTGCGTGGATGTCTGTCGATGTCCGCTCATACTTATGCATTATTATTTCACTGTACACAATATATTAATAATGTATTATAATATAATAATAATAATATATATATATTTATATACACATAATATAATATAATATATATATATTACCTAATATATTACTACCCTATTGTTAATAGTGCAGTGCCTCTCCGTGGGGGGCCTGTTGGGGGCATGATGGCTTCCTGTGAGTTTCACAGTATAATAATTCACTCAAAAGCACAAACCTCAGTTTTAACAGCTGTGTGGGAGAAGCCAGTTGGACTGCAGGATAGAGACAGGTGATCGTGTGCATCAACGCTCTCGCCGTATCCCAACCACCCATTAGGGGGTCATCAGGACTGTGTTTGGCTTCGTTCCCAATGTTCAGCTCTCTAGCATTGATCTTATAAAATAAAGACATTATGCTGTCTGGTGGATTTTGTTTACCGCTGTAGTGGGATAATTGCACATGAAAAAGGATGGCAGCATTACTTTGTAGAGTAAGGTTGAGAAAATCCAAGCCTCTACATCCAATGCCATATTTTAAGTATTAAATGAAGTGGGTCTTTTTTCTTTTCTCTTTTGCGACGGGCAAAGGCCTCAGGGCCCTCACAATAGGCATTTTTAATTGGCCGGGAAGCAAGGTGCTCTTTCGTGCCCCGGGTTTAGCACTTGACATGAAATGTCTGCTTCCATTGGTGCTGCAATTAAAGCCCATACGTTTGAGGGATTACGTTTGATCATTTTAGACTCCTCTTTCTGCAAATGACGAGCCAGACACTGCCCTGTGCGAGAAGGAGGATCCACATTCAACCCCCCCAACCCCGCTGGCTTATTTTGAGCCGCCCTCAAGCCAGGCCGCCAAGAAGGTGGTGCAGAAAATTAAAACAGCATTGGGGGCTGTAGGCTGCAGCGTAAGACGCCGCCATCTGCCCGTGGGGTCTGTCTTGCGTCCACCTGGCTGGCGCCTTTAATGGCCGCAGTGATCCTGTCTGGGCACCGTAGGAGACGGGAGCCCGGAACAGTAGGGAGGTCGATGTTTCAGCGCTCAGTTGATTTGTTTCCTCAGTCTGCAAAGAGCAGCAAAGAGACACATTCGTCAAGTGCGAAGCTGCTAAGGGAGCCGCGTTGTTCCTTCAGCTTTATAATTGTCCATCTTTGTACTTATTTTTCGGCTTCCTCTTGGCTTGATTATCATGACATCAAAGTCAATTGAAAGGCCTGGCAAAACAGCCAGTTGTCATAGCAACAGTTTAGCAGGAGCACAGCGTGACAGAGTAAAGCCGGTTCTGGTTAGGGGCTGTTTTCTGAGTCGCGATCCCTTTCCCGGTCCCTTACCGTTTCAAGAAAGGTCAAATGGACCCATAAATCCTTAGTCACACCTCAAAACAGCACTCTGACGAAAAAACGTTCATATTTTTACACCGCTTACGGTTATATAGCTTCATGTCCCACCCGGATCGACACCCGCGGTTGTTCTGTTGTGTTTTGGGCATAATGGAACAGATGCCCTCATGTTATCGAATGCAAATATGTCTGTTGTGATTGGTGCAGATTTCTGCTGACGCACTAACTGGTGTGTGTCATCAACAGTGAATTACAGACCGATGCACAAAGTACGTTGAAACATTGGCAGAATCCTACAGATACAAAGCCTACAAATTCTTCAAAGGATAGATCAGAGATGGATAGTGATTCAGTCGTTTGTCATGATTCAGTAACATGATTCAAGTCTGTGGGCTGAGAGAAAAGCAACTGGTAAAACAACATCGAGCCGTTTTAAAATGAATCCGTTTGCGATGAACCAAATTACCGGCAGCCAGGGACGGTGACATGTTGAGATGTATCCTGCCCGGCGACAGTGGCAGGAATCTATTTTTCTTCAGCAGGAAACATCGATGCTGCAGAGTTGTAGTCTTTCTGCAGCCTCACGCGTTTCCTACTGATGCCGAACTAGCAGAGAGAAAGCCATCTCAGGGGAGATGGTGCACTTTTCTCAGCTTGGAAAAAGAACGCGAAGAAGTGACTCTCTACGGCTCTCGCTCCATGATTGCGCTTGCGATAACCATCGGCCAACTCCCTCCAGCTGCAGGTACGACCCACCGTTCACACCGTCAGACGGTGTTGCAGGGAATCTCAAACAGTTCAAGAACAAGGTTGTTCGCTCATTATTATTGCAAAATGTAGAAATAACTCCAGATATGGTGCAGTAAGGAGAGGTGGGTGCGACCCCAAAAAATACTCCAAGACTTTCAAGAACGATTTATGTAATATGCATTGTATACACACAGATTCTCTGTATAATCAGCTAATTGTATAAGTATAAGATAAACTCACAGTTTAATCTCTTCTTTACACCAACTGTTTTTGTTTTGGGAAGCCTTTGTAAATAAACAACAACCTCAAAACTCCTTAAATGACCACAAATTGCCGTGTGTCAGCCTTATATAATTATATAATTATTTATTCTAATTCATCAATCACTGGCCTTTCTGAATTTTGCTCGTAGAAATGAACATTTTATGTTCTTCTTCTACAGTCGTCACTATCACTATGGCCTCACGTATGAATTGCTCCGAACACACTGATTACTGTGTGTGTGTGTGTGTGTGTGTGTGTGTGTGTGTGTGTTGGGGGGGTGAAGGGCACGGTCTCAGCGGATGGCATTTAAAAATCTAAAGCGTCAAGCAGCTCAACTTGTAATGAGAGGCACTAAATCGTGTGGCCTCCGAGGGGTCGCTGAGCATTTGATCCTTGCTGCGAGGGCGCTTTATCATCAGATCACGACGCATCTTGGTCAATTCTCCCGTGTGCTCGGCCGTGACCCGGTCATAATACTGCAACTGAACTGAACGCTGCCGTCTCCAGATGAGGGAGCTTGAAGCTCAGCCAGCAGACCTCGAGGCTTCAGCGCTGCCATTGTGCCCAATTAGAGCCGCTGGGTATGTTGCGACCAGCCCAGCAGGCATGTTCCTGTCTGTTCTGTCCCTCCGTCTGAGATCTATCCTCCGTCTGAAGAATGATTACACTTTAATCACCTCAAGTCCGTCCTATGCTCTGTCGTGTCTTTTATCATACCATCGCTCGCCCCCCAGTCTCATCTATTAGAACCACAAAAGTAAGTGCTTGTTTCAAAGAGATGGTACAAAGCCGGCCTTTGGAAGGCACGGACGCAGTGCGTCTGGTGCTCTTCATGTCTTAGTGATGTGGAGATGATCCGTTCCAACGAGGCAGCCATCCCCTAACCACAGACGCCGAAGAGGGGTCTTTGAAAGGTTCCAATCAGCCAAGCTCTGAAAGATGCTCAAATGGCGGCACAATTCCCCTCCACCCACTGACATTTAAGGAGCACTTAGGCACATTAAACCACACACCGTAAGAACGGAAATCAGAGGGCTTAGTGGAGCTGCGGCTTTTAACAAGAAAAACAGCCAAGACGCTCGTATGCGGAGATGAAGGTGGCAGATATTCGTTTTGAAACGAAAGGGTTCTTGATACCAGAAAGAGGTGCACGGAAACAGGCTTTTTATTTGAAGCTGCAGAGTTTGTTGGCTGTAGCTAACCAGCTCATTAAGCTAATGTTATAGAGCAAACATTCCAAATGGCTCATTTTAAAGTGAAAGTCGTGTCAATGGGATCTGAAATGCGCACTTAATGGCTCCATGCATGATATAAAACTCCTGAAGGAAGATGTTACAAGTGTTTTGATGTTGTTTTTGAAGTGTTGAAATAGATTTAGACATTTTATGGGAAACGTAATGGTTTGTTCACAGAGAACCTTTCGAGCAATGGCATTACATACAAAAGCAAATAATAGATGACCTATTCGCGCCTGGGGAAATTTGCAGACCCACCAAGCAACCCCCCCTGCAATCAGCCGTCCTCCCATTCACTCCCATAAAGAAAGAGACATTGTTTGTTAATCAGCAAATCATTTTGTGTAGTTAAGAACACTCGATAGCCGGTTTGTAAATCATTGGGTCCTACAAGTTGAGGTCCTAAATGACACAATCTGGTATATTTATGGAGTTGATTTGGGAACCACTTAAACAAGTAGCCATCCAGGCCATCTTTGGCTTACTCGTGACGTGCTTGGCACGATTGCAGCAGACTGGGCAAAGCGCTCCTGAACTGCAATCTGCTGGGTTTATGGAAATGAAGACCCGAGTCTCTGCATCGTGTAAAATCCATAAGGGACCGAAATGAGAGTGCCTGAATTAATCATCAATGGGAAAAAATCATGTCCATATTTCATCAATGTCAAAATACAAGTGTTTCTTTTCTATTTTATTTCCAATGCTCCCCTCAAGCGCATTACTTGTGGATTCTATCCGATGAGTCGGCCCTGCTTCCAGCTATATACGATCAACAAGCAATCAATCATCAGGCGCTCGGCGCAGGAAGTGGGATTTGTTATTTGCATTGCTAATTATCGACACTTACAAAAAGTGCCAAGCTGAATTGAAATACTAGACAGCTGTATTGATGCGTGTGGGTGTGCAGGAGTGCCTTAATGATGGGAAGAAATGTTGAAATGCCGGCAGACTGTGGGAAAGTCGTGATAAGATAAGCTGTATCAAAGCAAAAGTCCTCGTGAAATGTATGTCCTCCGTATCGTTGTCTCTCTCGATGATCATTGAGGGTCCTTGGACCGACCTTGGACACTTAGTATCAGATCAGTGCAACGGTTAAAAGATCAAATGTAGATATAGTTAAAAACATTTAATTTAAATGTCGGAATAAGACATGAACATATCGAGCAAACCACAGAAATGCTTTACACACTCTAATATTTAATTTGTTACTCTTGCTCCGGTTAGATTTTATTTTTGTTTCCATTTAAAACAATTGACCCGGCGCTGAGCCCTGCCAATCAATGCTCCTCCGTCAAGACTTCTTTTCTTCTCAAGAATTATTGAGACCACATTGTCAATCACTGCATAAATATGATCCATTTCTTTGGAAAAGACTAAACTGATTTCATATAGAAGCAGACAAGAGGGTCTAATAAATACTTATAGGATCCATCTAGGATGTTAAACTGATTTAGCAATGAAAGCAGGTTGAAAAGATAACAATGAAAGTTCAAGCAGTTCCCAATATGAAAGTAAACCACCAGCAGACATTCAGTGTAGTAAATTAGTGTAGCATAGAACTGCTAATTGTAGTTAATCTTGAGCTAACATTCTCTGCTAATGTAATGGCTACACAGAGTTTTACATAAAAGTTGCATTTCTCTCCATCTCTCCATCTGTAAAGAGGATTGCTGTTACACATCATTTAACCATTGCTAGTGCTAGATCTGAAAAAATAAAAATACATTTGCAGAAAAAGGTTCATGATCTATGCAGGTATTCCTCAAACAGTGAATGTGCATGAATTTAAAACGCAAAATGTGTTTTTTTTATTGAGAATCAAACATTCAAAAACTCTGCTCCATAATGACGGGTGACTTTATCTACGATCCAGCATTGAGCTTGTTGATTGAATCTGAAACCCACTGTTTTAAAAGGAATTTGGCACTAACATTTACGTGATGTACATCGGGAATTACTTGCTTCATTTTTGTATGTAATTGTGAGCGGTTTTCCCACATATTTCGGAGAACAGTGTGGATTCCCTGTGTTGGCAATCACACTGGGAAGTGGAAGGTGGCGCTGCTTGATTGTATATTGTCTCCAGGGAGGAGGAGGGAATCAGTAGGAGGATTTATAAAATCGGAGCATTAGCAAATGCAGACATTTAGTTCAGTTGAAACCTCTGTTGTGTGACTATGAAATACAAATAAATGATCGTGACGTATGGACTTGTTTAAATGATAAATGATAGTTGAGATTAATTAGTGCAAAGTAAAAAGGGCCTGGACTGACAGCCTAATCCTTAGTTATATATCTGGTAAGCCTGATAAGAAAGGCCCATGTTCCCATTCAAGGATTAGATGGTACCATTTTAATATTCATGTTTCCTCAATATGAGCTTCCCCTCAGTGACAGCTGCATAAGTTTCACTGTCTCAGACGGAGCTCGGCATTGACAAAATGTACCACGGAGGACATCAGAATGGGTTTCCAGCACACAATGGCCTGCTGGAAATGAATCTTTGGTGTTCATTTCTGAATTAAATTGTTATTTTCTCTTGTTGAGATTCACTGTTGTAAGCTGACGCGATAGACTACTTATTACAACATTAGCAACAAAAGCCATCAATCCTATACTTCTGTCAAAGGTTTGATGCTGAAAAGTGTATGTCTGCATATATGGTTGTTAAAAAACACAAAACAATTACTAAAGTGCATCAATAAGACGTGTAAATGATGAAAGGTTAAGAATTGCCATCACAGCAGCAGGTCTACCCTAAACAGTTGTAACCATGCCTGTCGTTCTTCTTCTTCTCTCTCTCTCTCTCTCTCTCTCTCTTCTGTCTTTGCTCTGTTGCCATGGCACCTCAGTGCCTCACCTCTTCAATCTGTTTTTGTGTTCCTGTTAAAGGCTCCTTCACCTGAACCAGCAGCGATGCAGACAGCAGCAGCAACAGACGAACCGGAATCACAAGACGAAGTCTTTGGTAAGCGACCAAATCATATCTTGAATTTCAACTTGCATACACGTCGACACCCTGGCTACGAATTCAAAATCTGCTGACACACAAAGTGATGTACAATAGAAGGTATTAATGATGTGTTTGACCCCCAAAAAGTTTATCATTGAAGGTAATATTGGTTATATGGTAGTTTAAGTGGAAAGCACAGTTGGAAACATTTAAGTGTGTGATCAAGGAATCAGCAGAACCAGGAATGACGGCATTAAAACCCACTGTCGCTCCTTCAACTTGTAAAACGCTCAAAAGCTGCTTTGCAACACTGGCTCAGAAGCTGCTGATGCTGCGTTATGCCATTTGTTTGGAGCGAGCAGTGTGGTAAGAAGTTGGTACTTACCCTAATACATGAAGCTTAATGATTTGTGAAGGCCAAATGTTCCTTATAATGACCTTTAACTCAGCAGATAAAGGCACTAATTCGAAAAAAATACTTTTGTAAAGCGGGATATAGGAGACCGGGAGATATTTGTGTTTGCAAAAGTGGAAATTTGCTGAATTGTGTTTTACTGAACTGTTTTATTAATGAGGTTACAGCTCTGAACGAATTCTAATAAAAGGCAAATCATTGGATTTTCTGCACGGATACTGTATACACTCGTACTCATGCATGCTGCATGCATAATCGATCGTGCTACATTAATAAAACATATACTATAGAAGAGCTCAGTCAAGAGTTTCAACTTTTCTCTTCCCATCAAACCAACTTCCCCGAGGTCTTTTTGTGCCACCTTGAATGAATCTATCCGTGTGACTGAGGCGTTCTGCAGTGAAGATGCAACCCCCCCAGGGTGAAGGGAATCATCCATCTCCTCACGTACAATGTGTGCAGCGGACTTCACTGTGTCACAGTGTGTCTCATAGCCGCGTGTCCAAAAAATGTAATTGCACAAAATAAAGTATAATAATGAAAGAGAAAGTTAGTTGCTTATTCTGCAAGAAGAAGAAACCCTTCGAGACGTGGACGACGTTTGTGTAGGAAGAGCGTGGAGCGTTCAAGAAGCACGCAGAGGAAGACAAGCGGCGTCTGTTTTCCCCCTTCGCTGTCGGTCTTGATTGTTCTCGGGGTGAGCTGAGTTGAAGAAGGGCGAACTTTTGTGTACTTACTGAAATATCTGCAGCACAAGAGATCAAACTAAAACTGCATCTCTGTGTGTGTGTTTCTTAAAGGTTTGGCTGTCCAATATTATTACATCATTTGTCGTTACACATTCTCTTTCAATAGCCGATTTACGGGTCAGATGTATGGGTTCTACCGACGGAGAGGGTCACCAGGGGCTCCTCTCACAGCCCTCCACAGCGGGACCGGAGCTCCTCAGCGGGAGAGAGCGCGGTTCCGCGCTCGTGGTTTGATGAGAACGCTGCCGCCTTCATCTGCAGGGCGACTTCCAACGTCGCCACCAGCAGAAACAAGCCGGTTGTTGTTGCTCGGTTGCCGACACACTGAACATGCACGAGGTGGAGGGAGGCGTCATCTCCACGGGAGCTCGCAGCTCCTCGGCACGTCCTGTGTTTCATCGCCTCGGTATCGCGTTGAGCTCTTTGCTAACCGCTGAGCTTCCGACCGGCCGCGGTTCTCGGCGAGGGCCGTGGTGTGTCGGCGCCCCCCGGGGAGCCCAGGGCTGGGAGGTGGCCGTCGCACGTCATCCGCAGCCGGAGAGACGGTGTTGCGCGGTTCTCGGGCACGGGATCAAGGGAATCACGATCCCTCCGGGGAGGACAACACCTCCTGTGCTCGCTGTGAAATGAAAGGTGTCATCCAGCCTCCAGAGCAGGTGCCTGATGACCTGCTCCACTCCGACAGAGAGGAGAGAGGCGCTGGTTTGTCGATCCCAGTGGGCTTGTGTAACAACATATTCTAAGACTTGTGTGTAGCTGTTACTGCTCTTTTTGTTTTGTGTATTGAATACTGAGACAATTGTTGCCTCCAGTCCACACTAAGAAAAAAGTGGTGGAGGAGCGACTTCTTTGCATTTTTCTTTACTTTCGGGCAATAATAACAATCCCCAAAAATCATTTATTCATAATAACATAACTCAACCAAGCAGTAGTGATGGCTCGTATAAGCTCAGTACCTTTTTCAGTAAGACATAGTGACTCAACACGTGTTTTACCAGTCAGTAGAGCCGTCTGTTAATGGTTAATGGGAGTCGGAGTGTTTGCTTTTAGTCGCTGAATTGCAGTGTAAATGTTGTAAATTGTGTCCCCACAATGAATCACCTTAAAGTCCTTTCATAATACATGAGTTGTCGGTCCAATCCAGTTGATTAATCATAATGATAATGTGCATTATGAATGTTTGAAGTGAGTTACATCTTACCGCTTTCCTCTTTCTTGTCTGAGAGACGTTCAACTGTACATGTCTAACACAACACAGACCTCATTGCCTCCTTTCCATCTTCCATTACAGTCAATAAAGCATCGGTTATGATTACACATCAAACACCAGACAATGTACACTGCATCAAAGGACGGATGCAGCAACCAAATGACATTCAGAGGAAGGTCAACACTGAACCAACATTATGCAAAACTAGTTTCCCCACCCATCAACAATGTGTTATTCTATATTTGCACTCATGCATGATTGAGTTATGTCTTTATAGATGTGCTATTCATACATGCCTGCTTGCACAGAACTGCCGAGCTGCGGTTTTTGCTGATGCTTCATCATCAACAGGAAAGTCGTACCTCGCAGGGGCTTCTTCACATAGATCTGTTCGCTATTCGATACGCTCCCCGCCCAGCAGTTAATTCACGTTCCCTACGTGTACCACTTGCCATTGATCGGCACGCAGCAGACTCGGAGGATCCGCGATCGACATAAGTGATTCTTCAAAGAAGCCGTCAAACACACTGTTCCTTCTAACAGTCGTGAGGTTACCAGGCACCGAAGTTAGATCTTCTGACTGGTTTGTCTGATACGTGACTGTTGTTGCGTGCAGGCTTGCTTGTTTTTCTTACATTCGCCCTTTTGCTGGAACCACACTTGCTGGCACAGGTGCCTTTGGCAGCTTATCATGAGAACAGGAAGGAATTTGGATGCTGGTTGGATGGTTTAAGATGTCATGTTTGTTTTTTTTTCAATGGATTTTTAGCAGCTGACTAAAGGCACCAGCTGGTTGTGGCGTCTGACGCTCAGTCAGGCGACTGAACATTACAGGGTTTGTTTGAGGCAGAAGTGGAAATCAAAGCTCCGTTATAATATGTATAATGTCTAATCATGGCTGATCGAAAAAGCTGCTTCAGAGCACCGCGGGGACGGTTTCCGTTCGGCTTAATGTTTAACTGGTTCTTTGCTCAGTCGCCACTGCTTTCTGCAAGTGTAAGAATCCCATTTTCTTATCAGCTCCTCACTCTCACCGAGGGAACATCGCTGTTAGGATACATTTAGAGCCTTCCTCTTACCTGTGCACCAAGGCCCGAGTAATTGAGTGCCATTAGGTTCATTCACAGGCTCCGGGGCAAAACAAAATAAAAGGGAGTTGCCACCAAATTGGCACAATGTGAGTGGTTTCATGACGGGCAGGTTAGCTTTGCTTAACTGGAGGCCTGTTTCGGTGATGTTGTCATCAGCCGGCGTCATGACTCATCCAGCGTCTGGGGATGTCTCCATGCGGCACTTCCTGTTTGCACTGCTTTTCCACTGAAGGGCAAACACCACCATCAGCTTTGCGGCTGATAAAAGCCCATTACGGCCCCATTACATGAGTACAGCAAGGCCCCCGCTCAGCAAAACTACCCCCCCCCCCCTCCCTCTATCTGTGTGTCTGTCTGTCTACCTGTTGTGACCTGACTCTGTCGGGGTCACTGTTTCTTCATCGTTACTGGGTGAAGGGAGGAGAACTGGAAAGAACACGTTAATAGTCGCACAGGAGTGAAGGCATCGGAGCACAGGAGGCACCACAGAATCATCCAAGCTGCTACTTGGGATGTGGATACAAACACAATATTAATCTATGCGTGGCATAGAATTTAATTATCTCCATTCTTCTCCACGTTGGAAATTGGTCTCGTCGTGGTTGTCAGGAAGAGAGAGACAATTACAGAATGCGAATACATTGAATGGATTTTGTTGAAGCAAATCCTGTCATATATATTATAATATTGGGGCTGGTACGAGAGCCTTGTGGATTGTAATTGCAATACCCGTTTTATCCAAATTAGGTTTTGATACCTTCCACACGTTATGGGTGGAAGACATCTTGGATATATATATGACACCAAACACCCGAGCATTTCATGTACAATTACAGCAGCCAATAACACCGGATAATTCAAGTGTTTTATCACAAGTTATGAAACTGCACACACTGTATTTGCACTTCCTAATCTTATAGAATTAAGATCAATATTTTAAAGGATAACAGCGTTTGATGAGAAAATTGTCAAAGCAAGAAGCTGACAAAGAAAATAACCAGTCTGTTCTTATTGTCCCATCAGATATCACTCCTGATTCATTATCTGCAGGTCAAACTCTGTGCTTTCATCAAGGGCATCGGAAGGTATATTGTCGTGAGCCAGTTACCTCTTCATTTCCCACAACATGGGCTCCCTTACTGGCGACCTCCGTGGAACAGGCTGCATTGATTTGGTCCGAGCCTGGTGGCATTAGAGCTCTTAGCTATTAGGCAAGAGGGAGCAAGGAGAGGAAGTAAGACTCCTCCTTTCTGTCCTCCGCTCGCATCAACCGTAATGGAAACACAATCTAAACATTCCCTTTAGAGATGTGATTTCTCCCTATGAAGTATTGTGAATATTTAATATCTGGTTTAGTCTCTAAGGATGTGTGTAATACAGCAGTGTTAACATTTGCCTCATTCTCGCCCGCACAACTCCATCCCATTTGTTTTCCTTATTTTGCCTCTGCCTGAGCGTGATGTGTTTCGGGTGGAAAACAAACAGAGGGAATTTTTCTTTATGGATTTTGCTTTCATCCTGCTTTTTTTTCAGGAAATGTCCCAACATAG